TGCTTTAAGCTTTGCCATTTCGCACAAATACTATAACATATTGTACAACTTTACAACATTTGTCCTAGCTTACCACTCAAAGGCCCAAAAATATTATGACTTTTTAACGAATAACGAGTACAAACTTGCAAACATAATTGCAAAGTTTTATGAAATGCAACTACAAAAGATGTTCCGGCGTTGTAAGTAATCGACCATCCAAGGTGCACAAGTATTCACTAATGTATGGGATTGAATTGTTTTCGTGTTCATTGGTAACTGCGTGCATATTTAAAGGTCACAGTGTGGTCTAGACGATTTACTCATTAGGAATGATTAGATGAGTTTGCAATGTAGCGACTGTGTTATTTAACAAACATAAACTCTATAATCTCCTTGGTTCTTGATCTCTCGCATGTTTCGACCTCCCACCTCATCTCGGAGTCCGCATCGCTTATGGGGGTTCATTTAATAACGCGTCTCTGTGCACATATCTTCCCTCACAATTATCATTTGGCTAACCATTCAGATGCTTGTATATTTACTAGTTCATCCAAGTTCTAATAGTTGACAGCCTCCGTCACTCATATGAATCCTGTGCAAATCTGTGACTCATAAGTATGCACAACTTCGTGTTCACAACAACACAAAAAACTCGCATGTAGAATGATCTAAAATGGTAAAATTCCACTTTCATTTTCAAATTTCATTTCATTTTATATTTTCCGTGCTGCGTCAATAAGAATTAAGAAGGTCGTGTAAGCACTCGGCCAAGGAAAAGGAAGTTCACGCGTGACCTGTGATGAGAGGCGTAAGTTATTACTGTTCACCATTTTCAAATTGAAATAAATCCGGGCAAATTTATTATAAAAAAAATCCAGGATTATCTACAATAAAATTCTCACTGAAAGTGGAATTTTGAGAGAATCTCTATTTTAAACAAGGAGGAATGCTCAGAGATCGCTACGTATCTGCATTTCGTGGCAATTACTAACATAAATGTTATTGTGTTTTGGTTGGTAAGCTCAATTTATTGAATAGTATTTAAATTGGAATCCACAGAACCACGTGTAAACTGCTTCGGGAAATGGCGGTAAATGCTGTTGTAGCAACACAAAAGTTAAAAAAACTGAAGTTAGTGTCAAAATCGTTTGCTGCTTTGTGTCCTTTCCAAAGTACTGGGTTATATGACAACAGCACATCAAAAAAATTCCTTGTTACCCACGAAAAGCTACAAAACAACGGTGGCCATAATTTGGCCACGTAAAGGTAAAAGTTTGGATTCGACATTTCAGGCCTGCAAAATTTACAGACTATTACTGACAATGTAATTAACAAATGTTATTTCAAAAAGCAGTTTTGAGATAAGTGATTTTAAATGTTGACAAGGCATCGTGAATAATCATACTACGAATATTTTGTCAAAGTCTCCGTGTGGACATCAAAAAGTTAAGCGAAATTAAAGATTTCTAACACCAGTTGAGAAAAGAAAAAGGGCCATTTATATCATATTAAAGAATTTGAATCAATAATCAATGGCCATAATGGAAGTAAAGAATCACTATAATGCTTACTTGTAAGGCTATACTAAGTTTCTTTTCAATTAAATGTTTTATTTCTAATTAAATTCGGATTAAGTTGGAATATTCGAACGGTGTTCGGCATCCGTAAGTTTTTTAATTAAAAATACAATGACAAAGAATTAAATGCTATTTAAAATTCAAGCGTTCTGACTGAGTTAGGATACTTTCAGTATTTCATATGCAATTGTGTGTGGGTTTAGTTGGGTTTAGTTGGGATAAAGGCCGCATTCAGGATACATTCCTAGTCAAAATTAAATGAATAAGCTTTAGGCATACAGATAACGTCAACTGCTTTTTTGCAAATAAATGCAGTAGGCTCACAATCGACTTAATTTTTTAAAGGAAATTGAATTGATGTATTTTGCATACATGACAATATAAGTGGTGGACTTATTACAACAGCTTTAGAAAACTAAAAAAATATAAAAAAGGTATATGCACACACTAACAACTAATAACTCTAACACATTTAAAAATCGTTTAATAGTAATTATTAAATTGTTTTAATTGATAGAAAGATTAGTCGACCATGTCGTTTTTCAAAATTTCCTCGTTTGTAACCTTTCACTGTTGCTCTGTGGTGAAAGTTTTTGCAATTTACACTGCTTTCGATGTATTGCACTTTCTTTCGCCTTCTTGCAACAGATCAGACGTCGCACTAATGTGGACCGGGGTTTGTTTTTGCACTCATGTTCATCGTCATGCAGTTGAGTACTAGTACAATCGTTAGTACGTTAGCTGCTTATCGTACAGCTCGTACCAAGCTGCTCTTTTTATGTGCTCGCCTCTTCTTGAGTACTCCTGGTCCGTAATGACGTACCGGTGCACTGGTGCTATTTACTTAGGAAGCCTTTTTTGACGAGCCGGTCCTTAATCTAAGTCTGTTGTGCTGTGCATTTGGATGCAAAACGTGTCCGTTCTTGCTTGTGCCTACAGTACCTTTTGTAAACTTGTGATATGCCGTTCCAATGAATCCAACAAGGATCTCCTCCCCTTCTTTGCCCTGGCAACCTCGTCGATTGGTAGCACGGGCCTCTGCTTGATTTCGCCTTTCATAATATATGCCATTGATATGCATTTTTCAACACGCTGATTGCCTATTACCATTTGAGAAAAATACTTAACAAGGTGTAGTCACTTAATGCTCGCATTGCCCTTTCGCGTTCCTCCATCTAGGGATAGCACGTAATATCATGAGTGTTAACTTGAAGTATCACACCGGTAATATGCAGGCAGATTTCATGCTAAGGCACCAAAATAGTTTTATCTTCGTGCTTGTTTAATTTCAGAACTTGTGCCGCGCAATTCTTGTAGTGCCCCCAGCGTTAGAGTCCCTCTGGCGGAACTGCCTACTTTTGCGGTTTGCTAGCATGAGAATTTTTAGGATCGATAGTCTTGGTTCTGGAATGTTATTGCTCCATCTCCTTTACTGTCGTTGATTGACATTGACTAGTGTTTCCTTTCTGCGTCTGAAGGGTCGGCAATAAGTATTACCTACCCGGGTATGTTTGCATAACTTTTTGTAGGATTACATCCTGTGTCAAGCATAGCCGTGTGCTTTAGCATGGGCAAAGATTCAACAAGCCCCTAGTTTGTGGAAGGATGTGAATGCCTAGGTCGTGGTAAAATCAACTCAATTTGACTAAATTAGTATTAGTGGGAGCTGATTCCTCGACGAAACGCGCCCAAGTTGACTGATTTGTTGAAGAGTAGTCTGACGCCGTCAGTCAGTCCTACTTCATTGTTGTATATACAGGATGAGATTAGACCCCAACCCACTTAAGCTAATCTCAACCATCAAGCTTTAGTCGCCGTCAAAAAATCAATTGCATAACCAACCACGTTCTTAACTTTCAGTAGTATAGGAAGAACACGCAAGATACGACGGCGGGCCACCACACTAAGCGACGGTCTGTGATAAGGCGGCTTCTTGATTGGTTATGGCTGTTTGGCTCTCTTATCTGCACCCGTCTTAGAAGCCTGTCTGTCTCACTAGCTTGCAACTGATTGGCTTAGCAGCCACACACGCAAGAGGCTGATCGATGAACTGATACATTTTAGCCAAAAATACACGCCTTGATGACTCAATTAGTATGTCGTTTATAGGAGTACCACGTATTTTTCAAAGTTCATCCATTTACTGAGTCTGTCCCCTAAGAATGTCATCCAATTATTCCACCCTAGGAGTCACTTTTGCCAAATATGCCAATTTTTGAAGTCGTTCGAGTGGTGAAACGCTAAGCGGCTGTGCCATAAATATGGCCAAATACAACATTAAATTGGGTATAGAGAGTTTTAATGAAGTCCTCTGACAGCCCATATCGGCGATCTCCTCCGTGGAGGGAGTGCAGGATGAACCCGAAGACTTGATAATAACGGCGCTAAAGGCAGAAGATACCAAACACACTCCTAGGTTATCTTTTAGCAGCAAAGCGTTTCAATATCAGGCGGTACGCTGATTTGGTTTCACCGTTTTCGCACTTATTAGAACACTCGCTGAAAAATGTAGTATCACCTGGGGCGCTCTGCAAGCTCCCGAGCCACTCACACACACCGACTCTGATTTTGTTGCGAACCTGATGAAGTGCCGACTAACGTAGAATAAACGCCTCGTAATGTACCTGTTGCAGGCCCCAATGCCGTTAGAGATCTACACTGACACGACCCAACCGCAGGTAGCGCCTAGCTCAACTTATGCATTGGTGTAGTAGCGGTGTGTGCACAATGTAACAAGTTAGTCTCTATAGCCTTGCTAAACATTGATCCCTGAACGGACATAACTACATGAAGTGCGTTCACGCTTACTAACTGCGTTCACTGACGACTAGGAACATTGGGAAAGCAACATTGAGAGAGACAAACAACTCAGGCATGATGTGGCCGTGGAACACCCCAATTAAGTTGGCAATAGGAAAAAATGCACACGCACCTACTCTCGCTAAATTAGTCTGTTTCCCACTTCGGTAACAAGAAATTCGATAAAATCAATGAGGCACTTAAAAAGTGATGTATGAAGGTGGAAACAACGGTATCTACATCAACTGTACAAAATTACATCCACATCGCTGATTTTGCGCTGCCGCACCAAAACGTTCGGCACTATCGGTTGACGGAACTACCGGCGCTTTATTTCGGCCCCAAAGATAAATGAAGGATATGACATAAGTCCGAAGATTCGGCTAAATTGTAAGAATGCAGTAAGAAACAAGGCTCATACTCTCGCACTGATGAAAAAATGAGTGGAAGAGATAATATGGGGCAATGGCGAACACGCACACATGACTGAAATTCAAAGAAATGTAATTGAAACGGGAGCGCGTATACACATAAGTGGATAAGTAATGCAGTGATAAGGATCACACTAGGTACTGTACAAGAAGACAACCTCCCACCTTCTTCTGTTCTGTACAAAGAGGAGATAGTAAATGCAGATGTTACTTAAGGGTTTTCAGTTGATTCATCATCAACGTCGACCACAGAGTCGTTGGTTAAAGAGGAACCTACGGGATCCGAGGGATTTGAAGTGATATTTGTTGCTGAGGATGAAGGCATCGAAGAGGAGTCCGTTGGCGCCGCAGGAGTTAGGAGTGGAATGGAATTCTGTGCACCCATTTGACCGGCCACACTGTTGACAAAGAGGCGCAATGTCATGTCATGAAGGGCGCCTGGAGAGTGCGCCAGCATTGGGTATCGCGCCAACAGCATATTACGCATGGCGTTGAAGGACTCAGAAAAGACGTCTAAAAATCGAAATAGGTACAAACATGACTGCGATAAAAAGTCACAGAGTAGGGGAAGCAGTAGGGGACTTCGTACAGTTTGATGACATGGAAAAACGTTAGAGCAGAACAAGCCTGTGAAGCAGTGCCAATGGGATAGAATTTGCGGTTCAGGGAGAAATCATGGTCAACAAGTGTTTTCATTAGTAAAACAGATTTCGCGTGTTAAGGTGGCCTAATCGAGAGCTGCATTTTCTACACCTCATCAAATGCAAGTCAACGTAACGTCAAGATGGTGATTCGTTAAGGTAGTAAGGGTGGAATAATATTCTTGCAGGAGTGCAATTTTCCCTCCAAGAGATTAAAATTCACAACATAAACAGAGATTATTATTATTATTATTAATTCCAAACATGAAAATCGGCAAATACGATTAGGCTATCAGTATGCAAAGCAGGACCCAATGTGATAGCAACTCACCAAGGCCAAAGCGTGTTCAGTCTAAAGCATTGCCCCATTTCTACAGTGTCAAGGCAGGTACCACTCTCCTCTCATTGTGGACATTGACGACAGGCATTGTTACACTTGTCATGCTATTCCACGCAACTCTTCATTCTACTAAACTGACTTCCGTTAAAACAATCTTGAATTCGTAACTCCACAGTAAGCGTCTAAATTAATGTATACATTTGCTGTTAGACATTTATTGCTTACACTATGTACTGTTACAACGTTTATTGTGTAGGATAACAAAACGTAATTTGTTTACAGTCTGGATCTTCCTTGCTATTTTCTATCCGGCGTGTCTGTCTGCTAGGTCTTAAGGCGTTACTGTTATTTATAGGCATAAGGTAAAATCACTTATCCAAACGAGTAAAAATACATTCGGATTCTGCTGGGCTCAAATTTGCTATGATCACGATAAATGAAGACTATTGAGGAATAAAGTGTCAACTAATTCAAGACATCATAGAATGAGGAAAAAACTAAAATAGTGGGTAGTAAGGGCCCAAAAATGCCCATTCGTTCAACAAAAACATAAACAAAGTCATTTACTGCCGAACAGTCTACATCGCAAGCAACTTTACCAGAATCAGCTCCAGGCGATTAAGTAACATTGACAGATTCGACCAATAAGGTGCACCTTAGTAACCATTAGCCATACGGTGTGGGATATCAACAGCACTGATAGAAAAAGTATAAACATAAAGGGGCGCACTCAGAGTATCTGTAGGTTCTAAACCGAAGTATACCGACAAATCTTAGTGGCGGCAGCCCCTACTTACGAAATTTCTGACAGGCATACACAAACACTAAAAAATTGTTTGTGGTTAGAGAGAGAGTTAGGTTTAAAGGTAATGAGATGACCCTACAATGCCCTTTAGTTGCACAAGGAATGGAAAAAGGTTATGAATTCCATCTACAGATAGGAATGCAGCGCCTTGAGTGGATGAATAAAATTAAGGCAGTGTAAAAAGGGCACCATTTATGAGGTAACGCACAAACAGCTGGCAACCGCACTGATAAAATTCAAGTCAGAACTGACCTCGTCGCTCCAACCCGGCGGAAGGCGGACCCCTAGGCGCAAACGGCGATGACTCAGGCTGAAGGGCGGGTAGAGAGTGCGCCGGCAGTGTGACATACCTCGAATCAACTTGCTCTAGTGGGGTTGGGTTTACTGACGAGTAAAGCAAGCGGTTGTTCGAAGTGGCGGCAGCGTAAGCGGAAGCCATCGCCGCCATGCGGCGTCGTTGTTCTTCCTCCATCTGTTGGCGCTGAACCATAAGCGCTGCGGCGGCTTCAGGATTGTTTAAGAGAAGTCTCTGATACTCGGTCATCGGGCGACCCACCCTCTTCTCTTCTTCGTATTCTCTCCAGGCTTCAGCACGCTCTGCTTCGGATAGGCCCTCATCGAGGCGGTTCTCCAACAGGGAATCGTGGTCGTGGTAGCTGACTAACAGATTAGGCCGCTCCGATAGGAGATCGGCGAGGAGGCGGTCTTTAGGGAGGGCTGGTGGGGGCTTCCTATTGGCCGACTCAGCATCCTGAATATCCGGTTCAAAGGTGTAGAGCTCCCGTAGATCCTCTTCTTTAAAGTGGCGGTCGACCTGCTGTTCGTCGACAACACGCAGGGCCAATGATTGCTTTGTAACCTATACAAAGTAGGGGGAGGGCATGGCCAAAAGGAGCGATAACCTTCTGTCACTGTAATAATTTTAGTACAAAGTCATGGGCTAAAAATCGCACAGATTGGTGGTCTGGTAGAATGAACCAACTGAGGCAATTCTGAGGTTTAAATATATTGTTAGGTTAGCTAAAAAGACAAAGCACTAAGCAATTACAAGAATTGCTACTTGTTTGAAGACCGTAAAAGGTACGTTAAACAACCACAATGTGAAAGAATTCGAATTCCTTGATGTGCAGGAAAAACCAAACAAAAGTAGGACATTATTTAAGGCCAGTAAATGTGAATTAAGCACTTGATTGCTCCACAAATAGTTCATACATTTAGATCATAAGATGACACGATCGCTCTTATCGTGTCATCTTATTTATTGGGTTGTGAAAATGGTGCTACAACAAAATATGCTGATAACTAATTTTTTACTAAGAAATAAAGCCTCTTCATTTGACGAAAAGGTTGGAATGTGATCAGATAATAAGGTTAAGAAAATGAACATCGGGGCCTTGGTGGATGATGTTTAAAGAATTTTTAATAATGCACATGTAAACCGATTGAAAGGAAAAGGGAGAGAGGCCACAAATGTGTAATTTTCACGATTAAAATGTCACTTCGAAGAAGCCAACTAGTTTAACATAATGCAGCACAGAAAAATATACTACTACTTTTTTATACGCAACACTAAAGAAAGGCAAGGTGGGGGTGGCCACACCAGTGGGCTAAGCCAATTTATCCAGCACATGGTTAGCACTTGAACAATATGACGTTTTTATAGGCCACATTAATATGGCCTTTAACGTATCTATTGGAACGGAAGCAAATTAGTGGCAATGATTTGCTTTTACGATGTTTACCTGCCGATCATACATCTTCTCCTCCATTGTACCCTGCGCGACCATGCGGTATATGTACACAGGTTTAGTCTGGCCGAATCGGTAGCTTCTGAATATGGACTGCAAATCGTGGCTGGGATTCCATGAGACATCGAATATAACCAACCGATTAGCTGCGGTCAAATTGACACCCAGGCCACCCGCTTTGGTGGAAATGATCAACAGGCGGAAGCGCTGACTTGGACTGTTGAAGCGAGTCTGCAAGGAGTTGCGCTGGACCGCTGAAAGGCTGCCATCGATCCTTTCATAGTCTTTTCCACGACGCCAAGTATTGCGGTCCATATCAGAGAAGTATTCGACTAGGGAAGGCATTTTAAAGGTTTCTGATTGCAGAAGCTTTTCGAATTCCTGCGCCTGCTTCGAACTTGAGTCCATTTCTATGCCCTGTAGCATAAAATACGGTAATATTTATTATTTACAAACATTTAATGAAGTTATAAAATCGACAGGAGGCGACCATCACCACTACTTATATGCTGCAACTGCCCATTAAAATTCACCCCGTCGGTGTATCACGACCAAACTGAAAGCTCAAAAAATAACGGGTAGAAATTTGGGCGAGTTTTACAATATTTACAAGCCATCGTAGATATTAGGTGTCTGTTATTCCGCTAGAGAGAATATATTTCAAAACAAAGGTGCGGCGAAAAGGTTTACATGTTCATCCGAAAAATATATCAAGGTTTAAGTTAAAATATCATTTGAGAAACTTTGATTTAACTAAGACACAACAGGATCGCTGGAACCCGAATGACGTCAATGTGGTTAAGAGGGGATACGAGTACAATTAGCATGTTTGAGAAGGCCACTTACGAGCTTAAAATTGAGTTTTTAAACTAATTTTCAACGGCTCAAACCAACGGTCCGCACTTACTCAAGTGTTCATATCATGACATGGCTTGTAATACTCTTGCTTTTTATAAACAGGTCAAGCAAGAACATAGGGTCGCTATTTTGGTTACCTAGCAGTTGTTTCAGCTATCGAGTGACAAAACTCAGACGAGATTTATGAAAACACGCCCCGTTTCAGCAAATACAATTAAGGCCTCACAAAATCGTCAAGAGATCTACTAATTCACACCCACCTACACAATTTTTTTTGTGTCCTCACAATCTCTTTGCCATCTTAAACCGCACATTATCCTAAAGGTGCAATAATTGTACATTGGGTTTTAACTTAACAGGTAAAGTTATAAAGAAATTAACTTTATATTCAAGCAAATAAAGTTTTCAAAAAACCAAATAAAAATAAATAGTCTACATTTGGTCCATTGAAAGATTCCTTGCCATCAAGCTGCAATTTTTATTCTTAGCTATACTTGACTTCTAATATATGGACGGATATAGCACCCAAAACGGATAGAATTGAAGGTTTTAAATCCGACTACTCCTGTTAGCACCAACCTAGTGCTTCAATTCCAATAGGTGAGACAAAATCGGAACATAATTTATGGTAATCAGAAAATTGCGCAGCCACGTTTCGCCTGTGCAATTTATCCCAAGTGCCATAGAACAAAACTAAGAGAAATCATGCAAAAATTGTGACAACTATGGCCAACCACCCCACAGCCCATTTACTGATTATTATAATTCAGGAAGAAGTGTTTGCATGGTCAAAAAACTTATTCGTGAGTTCCCGGGGCAGTTAACCGCTACCTTTTAAGGGTACGCAGTCCTCGTCAGTGCTTTTAAGATGGTTACAAAGAAGACATTTCATCATAACCAAGTAAATTGGAACTGGTTTCAAAACATGCTGGCTGCGTGACTACTGTTTAGACTGAATGGGTCAAATTAATATCAGCAACCTTTTTAGGAGAGGGGAAATTAAAAACGAACCTGCGACATGCACCACTGTCTATCAATGGCGGCCAAAAACCATTCGATGAGATCTAGTGAGAACAGACTCTGAGAAAAGATGAGGACCTTATCACCGATCTCGGTGCACTTCTTGATGATGAAGAATAGAGCGCTCAGTTTAGCGCCTACATCTATCCGGAGATCGTATTCATCCTGATAAAGAGAATACCACCAGGGTTTGTTGCCGTCATTTTCATTTCCATTGTCGACGTTACCATTAAGCTGGCCATCTTCTCCCACCGGTGTTTTTTTTGGTGTCAAAGGATCTCGGTTGATGCCTTCGTTATCAGAGAGCAAGTCGATGACGCCAGAATCCTTCCGCATTTGACGAAATGACGCACGTGTTAAACGAGAGGAATTGGTCGAGACTTTGGTCTTGACATCGGAATCGGAAGAAGACGCTGACTTTGAGTCAGCAGAGTCGTTTAATTCAGAATCGGACCGGGGAACACTGGTCAAGCTACCACCGTCTTCGCCATCGTCAACCTCCATTTCTTTCTCCTCATCTTCTTCGCTTGATGACTCCCGCAATAGGAGCTAAATATAAAATTACCGTTTAAGAATCGGTAAAAATTGTCATCTTTCATGCAGATAGCAACGGCAAGCACCATAAGTATCGACACATTAAAACTAGGGTTAAATCTTAAAAAAAACTATGGAAAACAGTTAAAATCAAGGGAAAGCCAATCGGCATCAGAATGTATTGCAAAATAACACCAGGGAAAGGATCGACAAGTTTGTGTGATTTCATGTGATTCACCTGTTAAAGAAGAGAGCGCCCAAACCATGGTTATGAAAACCGGCAGCATAATGACAATCGCGACAATCACATCATTAACTCAATAGTTAAGCTCAGAAAATATCGTACCAAACAGACGTTACACAGCCTAGTAACCTGGATCTTCTGCTAGTATTACCACCACACAAGCCATGAGACGACTTCAGGTTCGGCACACAATTCGCCCGTATTTCTGTGGTTAGAAAGTACCCGGTCGAAAGTTTATTTACAAATAAAATACCCTATTGATATGACAAAATAATACCCATGGGGACGGTCAAAACTTACTGATTAGACTACTCCATATCAAGGAATCGATACGACGAACGAGATCAGTTTGACTAGGGCAAAAAACCAGATATTTAACAAATACCACCTTAATTTGGCCGCTTTTCTCGTTGGAAATTCTTTTAAGTCTGGCGTTTAAAATAAGATAAGGCTTAGGGAAATAATGCAAAACACCACAGACACAAAACTGCAGATTTGTAAGCCACAGTACCATTTCTCGATACATTGTGTTCTATCTCGTCATGTACGCCATTCTATTGTATAAAATAGAACAAGGTAATCACTGAAAAGTTATAGTGACACGAATCTCTACAACCCGTGTGTGACCCTAACTAAACGGGTAAAACTTGGGAGCATCACTAACTCGCTTGGCTTCTCGGGTTTCGTGCATTCGAAGTGTGTAGGGATGAGTCCAAACCCGGTAGAGGGTTTGTTGGTCGCGGAAAAGAGTGTTACGTTGGTCGTCGCCACTGGCAGACACATTCCGTTCTTTACGTTGCTGAAGAAAAGCCCGGTATAATTCGCACTGGACATCCGAAAGACGAATTTTCAACACATATTCCAGTCGAGGCGGAAGATACTGGGTCAAGCAGCTATAATCCCTTCGCTAAAAAAGAAAGGCTACCAGAATGAGATGCCTGTCGATAGGCCTGTTTGGACATGAATAAGCACAAGCATGCAGCGGATTAACAGCGATAGCGCCCGAGTGAACCCTGCATACTGACCTGATGGTGACAATGACTCATCCCCTTTTTATTGGTTACTGTTATCAAATGCCTGTCATCCGTTCACTCATCCACACACTAAGTAAGACACTTGGCTGGAGTGACGCTAATAAACGGTCGTGCCCTCTGTCGCCTCTCTTCACTCCATTCTCGGGTTGTAACGGCCTGTTAACGAGAGAGTTGTAAGGTAGTGCAGTACTACTCCCGGAATGGAGCCCCATTAAAGGGAAAGTTTTGTAAAATCACTCGAAAGGGAATTTCAGTGGATATTTGTCAATGGTGGAATATTCGACAAGCACATCGAATGCGTCTCAATGTACTGCTGAAATTATCGAGGATAGTAGTGTTAGTTTAGAAGAGTAGGCCTCCAGACGTGTGGAGTAGTTGCGGGTTGGAGGGTTCTGTTACGAAACACACATTAACTCCAAAAGTTACAAAAACGCAAGTTGCTACTGCACACAAGAACACATATTTAAAAACAATTAATACACCATTTAGACTTCATAATATTGCAATCCATGTCAAGAAATTGTACCACAGGGTAAAGACATGACTTCAGCGTAAAATGGTCCGATTAAAAAAGATCGTGCTACCTGTACACATCCATCTAGAGTTTTGAAAAGAACATGGGCGCGTTTCTTCATAAGTTGGACGTCACGCTGGGTGGAGTTTGAATGTTGACCGTTTTTGATCGGGTTAACGAAGCGATTAGCGAATTCCCTGGCAGATCCCAGTAAATTTGGCTTTACAAAGTTGACCATTGTCCAGTCTAAAAAATGAAAAACCCAATGGATCGTTTGTGTGCAAAGATAATTTTACCAGATTTGCACCTAACGCCCAAAATACTGGGATAAAGCAGGGTGAGTAAACCAAAACTACAGCACCACTAGCAGCAATTTAGTAGGCGATCTAATGCTTATTGATGGCAAAAACTGGTGTGAGTAAAGAATGAGTACGCACGCAGCGATAACGCACAATCAAACATGAATAAATGTAACTGTAAGGCTTAAATAATTAAACGGCTTCAGAGTTCTGCTCACACACTCCACGTGAACAGTGGCAATCTAATGAAGCGTGCAATCTACGGTAGGATCGTTTAGTGCTAGCCGTAGGAAAAACCAGTAATCAGTGAGCATGATGACCCAAAAATAACAATGCAGGTGATTTTCGATAGCAAAATGGCACAGAAAAAGAGCACTGTAAGGTTTCGTTTACACGGAAACAGTCCGGAGCTCTTCAAGCATGTTTGCTACGAGAGCGCCCCTATTCACAGAGTGTAGCCATGGTTGTTACGTCACCCCAAGTGAACCATATTATAATACAACGATCATGTTAATGATAATGTGCTCGTAAAAACCAACTATAACCAGCACTTACACTCAGTAAGGTTGTTCTGCAGTGGAGTCCCGGTCAGGATAATACGTTTAGGCGTCTTGAGGCTATTTATGGCCTTTGTTACACCCGTTTTACAATTTTTAAGCAAGTGGCCTTCATCACAGACCACAATATCCGGGCCTGGATCGATAAGAGCAGCAGGAATGAGTTTCTTGAAGACCTGCTTACGCGTTTTCTTGAGTAACGAGGTAGTTAGATTGCGATACATATCGTAGCCGATCAAAAGTACTCCGCCCTAACAAAGGATCAGTAAAATCAAGGTTACCAAAACCGGCATCGAATGTACGTTTAAATTCGACCAAACATTAGAAAACCATGTACCTACTATTGTTCGTGGATAACAGGCAAAATGTGAATTATCAGAATGTCCTATCGAATCTCCACAATATTTAGGGGACGATAGTAGTTAATTCTACGCAGAATTTGTTACCTACCAAAAGTATGTACAGTCAACAAAGGAAGCCTAACAAGTAAATTTATCTACCAATGCTGATAGCGTGAAATTGTTACCTGAAACATAGTAAAATAACTACTGAGGCTGTTCAAATTTGTGTCGTTACTTTCAATCACGCAAAATCTAGTCTTATTCTAACAGGACAAGAGGCTACTTTATTCAATCTACTTGGTGGGCTTTAAATATCTCTATCGTAAAGCGATGGTACTTTAATGGTAAAATATTCCTCGAGTCGCGTTATGATGGCTGTTGCAGTAGAAAAATTTATCCCAAATGACAATTTGTTGAGGAAATGAATCTCCAACCAGAACAAAGGTGTACAGCATTTGACTGCCTTCCTAAATGATATTTGACGAGAGATTCATATTTCTGCTCGCACAATGCTCAATTGTTGTTCGAAGCACCGTTTCACTGGGTACCAAAATTGGGGTTCTGCTACTACTACTTCAATTAAATACTTGAGATCAGCTACAATTTAAACCAAAACAAGATTCTTCTTGAAACGCCCGGATTTTTTTGAACTGATGCATCATAGAGCATGAAATTTTCGTTTTTAAATCAACGCTGACAACTTCTGATATCCGGGGCACTAGTAGCATTGTCGTCCTACCGAAGCTTCCAAATCATATAATCCACATAAGAACACCGTTAATAGTCAATGTCGTCTACCGACGAGCTTATCAAGTTTATTCAAACTGAAATTAAAAATGACTACTTATTGATGTCTTAAGGAAACAAAAAGATGCAACACACGCTAAAACATACACACTTCCTTGGCCACAAAACAAACACCAACTACGAAATCTATTATCAAAGTTTTTTTGAGTGAAACATCAGAATTATTTGTTAGTAAAATTGATTACTCCTATGTCACGAAGCCTCAAAAAGCTAGCGCGCAATGTCTCTGAGACTCACTTCGGAATGCCACCGTCGAATTACGTCAACCCGAAAGTTGTTCGCGGCAGCCGTAGCGAGTTCGAAAAGATTGATTTCTGCGTCTTCGGGCATCCAGTGTCGCCACTCACGATGCCAATTGAGGAGGGTATTTACCGGACAGACAACGAGACAAGTCTTGATTCCTAGGTCTTCCTCTTTGCATGTCAGGAGGGTGTGAATGAATGCGATGGTGGAGAGCGACTTACCCAGCCCCATGCAGTGGGCGAGGATGGCACCGCTGAGTCTACCATGGTTTTTCCTGTGTTCGTCTACAGACTCGATTATGTTGTCGTAGAGAAAACGCACGGCTAAAGCAAATTACAAGAGAATGGTTTTGACAGCTGGAAAGAATCTGTGAGTGTCGTGGAGTGACAATCAATTTGTGCGGGAAACCATTACTTAGGAAACTAGCTACAAATCTATAGGCAACAAAATTCTAACCACGGGGATAAACGGTCACAACACTGTGAATGATCATTTAACGGATTTTTTCGATGACAGAAACCAGGACAAAATGCACGTATTTTCATGATACTTTTCGCAACTCCTGTTTTGCAAACTCGAGCAGGGTTCCATGTTGAGTAAATTGCTCCTGTTCCTTGGTACGAAAGAAAGTAATTGAAAATAATGTAATTTGTCAGAAGATCCACTACTTTGAAAAGCAAGGGCGACCTTATAGGTAGAAGTTAAAGAGGCGTCAGTTGCCATGCCGATTCTAGGCTCCACACACAAAGCTTGAGTAGCAAGGAGGGAAGCATCGAATCTGAGATTGGATGCATGCGTGATACGAAAGTTTGCGTGTTTGGATCAGACTCAACATTACTGCAAAGATGAACCTACTCCTTGAAAGAGTTCAGATTAATTTCAAATTTAAATGACTAGACCGAAAAATTGTAATCTTTGCCAAAAAAACTACGCGATAAGGCAGGAGGCGCCTAAATCCTATGCCACAAACTTGGGTGCTTAGGGTTAAATTTAAAAGTACATGCTCGATAAGTAGAAAATGGTAGACTGAACTAATATATATGAGGTCATAGAGCAAAAAGGGGGCTTGAGGGGGTATGGTGTATAATTACCTGAATACAAACGCATGATTTTCAGACTAAAGCACTATTATTTGCTGAAAACATAAAATACTACAAAGAGGAATTGCACCTTTCTAAATCGAAATAATACGGTACACGAACTATAGTGATATCTCACCCTGAATCTGATGGGGCTTCAAGTGTTTGACCAGATCGGGATGCACTTCTACGAGGGCCTCATCGGAGTCTTTCTTGAAATCAAGCACGAGACGTGTGTTTTTCGAGGCTGATTTCTCAACAGAACCCTCTAGTACGCTGTTGTACTATGCAAAATAAAGAAATTACTGTAATAATTGCGGACTAAACATGTAGCAATAGTGTATGACAAATCCAAGCCTTCGTGAACACATTCCCCCGGTTTATGTTGACGGTGAAAAAAAAACAAATATTGAAGTAAGCTAGGCCTAGATAAGCCGCAGGCCATATAGAACACAACTACAAAACGTGATTGTTTTAACTGAATGATCGACAGCATATAATAGAAATTCCCCATGAAAGTCCATTTGTTCAATTTGAAATGTCAAACATGACCATTAACACAAGCGTCTGTCGCTTATTCATTGACATCAACCCACCAGGTAGGGTAAATACCAAACGGAATGAACCATACTTGCGAACACTCCTAGGAACTTTGAAGGATAAGTCTGGAAGTCTATGAGACGATATCAACGTACCAGCTTTTGCCTTTCTTCGAGACGTTTCCTTCGTTCACGTTCAAGGGCCTCGGCAGTTTTGGTTTCAGAAGAGAGCTTTTTATCTTTGAGAATTTTGCGAATTTTTTTTCGTCCTTTTTTGCCATCCCTCTCATCTCCGTCAACACTTCCTTCTGCTCCCTCATTACTGTCATTGGATTGCTTAGGAGACTCTAGAACCTTTTTTTTGTCGACTTTCCTCGTTCGCAGCTTGCTTTCCTCCTCTTCAGAAGTAGTGCTGTTCAAGGAGCTGCTACTGCTATTGAAGGTACTTGACGACTTTCGCCGAGGTCGACGTACACGGGACCTAAGATTTCGGCGTTGTCGACTCCTTAGCTTCACCTCCTCATCTGTTCCACTAGATGCCTTAGATAATCCACCTCCATTCTCCCTAGCTACGGTCTCCTCGCTTGAACTTGAATAGGCAATCCTTCGGCGTCGGATAACAGGCTTTGTTGAATTGCTTTCTGTAGAGGATGCAGACGATTCGATGCTGATTTCCTCACCAACAAACGTAGCACCGGTTGAGCGGGAAGCGGCACGACGAGGACGAGACCGGGAACTTAATGTCTGAACACTTTCCACAGAATCGGCGACACTAAAAGGTAGAGACGTATGTACAATTAATATACAACTACCAGTTGATCCCAATCTCAACGAAAACGTAGTTAAGTTTTCACAAGTAATTGCAAACGGTGACACATTCAAGCATTACACAGTTCATTTACGTTAGACCAACTTAATGAATCTAACAAATTAAAAATTCCTTCGATGTATTACCACCAGACTCATGATTTGGTTGAGCAATTAGGAGGTACTTCATAGTGACACCGAATGGTCGATTGTATGCCCGCTATTTCAGTGGGCCTAAAAGCCCTTTAAAAAGGCAGCTGGTTTTTAAGCGACCATTTTAGAGGGTGGAAAGTATGTGCGATTTGATGATGGAGAAGCGAGGGGCTTTTTAATTACTTCAAAGCGAAATGCTAGAAACTTAAATAGAAAAATAAACTTACCACTGCTTTTTTTTGGGGACAATGGAAGATTCAGAGCTATCCGAACTGGAAGATATACTGATTTCTACGCAGTCCAGGAAGCTGTGTTGCGACGATCTTTGAGAAGCGGGCATGTGAAGACTTATTGCAAAATCTCTTCTCCACAAACTAGTTGCGCTAGGACAAAAATTGAGATGGATGAGGAAAAACCGACTGTCAGTATGGTTCCACCGGACATAACACAGTGCTTAAATCATTTCTGTGTTCGAATTCCTTCATTTGAGTTCTTCAAGCGCACTTCGAATAAGAATTTTATCCCATGCAATACGAGGATCGAGATCTATGTTAAGGCCGAGAAGCTTTAGCGTAAGCCTAATGCATCGTCTCAGTACCTGAAACCAAAATGAACCAAATTGTAGTCGTCCATGAAAGTGTGATATACTTTACATACTAAATGACAACTTTTTTTCACGTAGTAGGCACTAGGGAGGCATATTTACACATAGTTGTGCGATTCAAACGAATTCAGAAAACCTCCAAATTGCGAAAGTAACACTAAATTAGGATAAAATTATGGTCCGCCTTGGAGCGTACGATATTTGAGCTCACTAAAACAGAGGTTGCAGAATGTGGTAATGAAGGGCTGAGTTGTATTTCTCACGACACAGTTGAATTTTTGAAAATTACATAATTACATGGTTTAGCATAACACCCGAAACACAAACAACACACAGTGTCAGTAAAAACTCACGTCAAAGGTCACGAATCCGAGAAAACTATTCAAGCCCAGTAAAGTGATAAGCAGTAGTAATGGGAGTGCTAGAACATTTGTACGGCAAAATCACATCAACAGTTGGGGAGGTGAACACTCACCAAAACTACATTCCTTCACAAAAATTGTCAATTTGATCTTGTGACAATTATACAATTTTGTTTCACGTGAGACGTTATCACCATGTTTCAGGATTGCTCCGGAAGTATATTAGTGAACAGCTCTAACCTCCAATTACCTGACCACAGTTCAATATTTCAAACATAGAACTCTGATTTGCCATGGCTGGTAACTGATAAACAGAGAATTTTATTCTGGCTTCTCTCGCTCTCAGATCTAGTCCACAGTACGAGACTTAAACCCACTAATCCTCTTCTGCTTGCATAATCGAGTTTATAGAAGGTCGTACAGTCTGATTTGCATGAGTTGCATGGTTCTGGAAGATTGTTTATTAAGAGATGAAGAGTACAATAAACAGCTTATGTGAAAAAATAACACATCTTGTTGTAGGATTATGTGTTTCGTATGTAACTTTCAGTAAAAAAAACCAACTTCAACCAATCTCGAGTATTCAAAAAAGCAATGCCTAAGTAAAGATATCGGAAATAAAATCGATGCCGCCACCACCTACATCAAAGTACAATTATTCTGAAAGTTTTGGGGAAAGATGACATCAACAAAAGCCTTTGTGCAAAACCTAACCCCCATCAAATCCAGCATGTTTTCGACTTCACGCTTCTGTTGATCTTCATGAACTCAACAACTGGTTTTTGCTAAAGTAACCCCTCTAACCTACAATGATAGGGCATGTTAATGCAGAAGACCTCTTCCCTACCACTATATACGCTGTCAATGGTGCCACTATAGAGCATGGAAGGCGATTCCTCATAAAAGATAAACGAAACGACAATACTTTGGCTTTCTATGTCAAGAATCTTTGGACTACTTGACATCAATATAAACTTTCTTTAACTGAACATAAAAAAGGTTACAAAGCCATTAAAATGAATGACTCGTGGGAAATACAAAGCTGAGGACTCACTTGTGAATTTGTAAGTTGACGGGTAGATTAGATCACGGGTAGTTCCAACTAAAGGTAAAAATATGTAGTATTTAGGCCCAAAACAAAATCCCAACAATAAATAAATCAAGACACAATCGACTGGAGAAGGGTCTATTTTGATCGGCATAAACGCAGTACTTCTTGTTACAACCATGTACAATAGGACCATGTAAAAATCTTATATATGCAGATGATCGGGAAGGAAAGGGTCTTTGTACACACCTAAAAGTGGTTTACAATGGGAAATGCAGGGTGTAAGGAAAGCGTAACTCATTTGGCGAGTAGCGGACGAAGCAAGGGAATAGAATGCAGAAGCGAACTCATTTGCCTGCCTTAGTTCCCGCCTGCGCCTTGTTTTTCTGACACATTCATGAGGTTGACTTCTGCTAATAAAGGGAATAAAACCGCCGCATAACTAAGAATGTATGGTAATTCTGGGTCATTATGATCTCATCAAAGTCAGCCTGAAGAACAAATGTGTAGCGAAAACAGATTTCATGTACTATAATTATGCAATTCTAACATGAATGATGTTACTAAGCAATAGTGGTTTACGTAAAATGCAAGACCAACCACAAAAATGCCAAACTAACTGTAGTTAAATAGTTGAGCGAAGTCAAATATCTTGTACATCAAATTGTACCTACATAATACTGATGACTAATTTTCGTTTGTCAACAAAATGTAACAAAAAAATAGCGCACACAAAATATACATTTGTTCACTGATGTTCCGTTACTTAAAACTGCAATATTTAAAATAGCTTTGACAAACATTGATGCCGTCATCGCTTCGATAATTTGGAGACACAATGTTGGTTTTTGAGGAATGGCGACACTCAAAAATCGGTTACACACGTACTGATGAAAGTTTGATGGTTTAGTCAGGTGTTCTTTAATTCATATGTATCGTCTGTAAATGACTCACGGGGCCTATTTTGGTGGGAATCTCCAACAGCGCGAATGCCATTAATGGGATTCTTGCTATTGGACGGAAGTGGTGACTGGAAGTCGTTGTTGACTTCCAAATGAGGATCTGTAGTAAGCGAATGAGAATGTGAGTTGGGGCCTCCGCAAAGGGTCCCCATGGACCCCGCCCTGTATAACGCGTTGGTGTTGGAGACTACAGAGTCTGGTGCAGCGCCACGAGCACCGTTGTTCCTCGCTTCCCCCGCATCCATCGATGCTGAGGAGTAAGATGCAGCCGCAGAACCGACATTATCGCCATCCAAAGAAGGTGTGACAAGACTTCGTCGCTTCCTTTTGGAGGACGCAGATGAGGTCGAAGAAACAGAATGACTACCACTTAAACGTCTTCGCTTAGCAGTAGTGACGGGGACAGAAACTGTCAGATGCGGTTGGGGACCTGTGTGCCCATTGGGAGGCTGCTTGGGAGCTTCGACGTCATCAGTCAAGTCAATTGTATCAGTGACTTTTTGTGTTGATGGCACAGTATCTCGGCACAAGGCAACATTGGATGGGATGGAAACCTTTTTCTTGTTGTCATCTTCAACCCGAGCAACAACATTGGCGATCCGACCCAAAAGATGGAACCGGTAAATACTCTGGAACGAACTCACAACTGCCTGTATTTCCTCGGCTGTTCGTGCCTTAGCTAGATTTGCTTCCACGCGTTTGATGTCACAGCTGAAGGTCTCGACACAGAAACGAAGAGATTGAATGACAGGACGAATATTTGCAGGCTGAATACTTGAAATCTGGCTGAGGATGTCTGCGATGTCGGCGTTTTTCAGGTACCACTCAGAGGTGTTGGAGTTGCAAGAAAATGTTACATTTGGTGATTTGACGACCTCGGACGCTTTTACTGGCTCAGTCTGAGACTTTGTCGTGGACTCTTTAGGGAAGATTTGACACGCCAGAACATTTGAAATAGGCGTTTTCTGCTGTGACTGAGCAGGTGTTTTGCCTTAATGAAAAGTACAAGGCATTTAAATGGAATCGAAACCATATTAATATCACACATGGCGGGCTAATCAGTCTGAGGAACCACTATTTTGATACAATGAAGTAGTTGTAAGCAAAAATGTCATTTACAGACAAGACTTCCCAGAGGAAAGACCCCAAACCTGCTAGTTTTCATGCTGTCAAGTCCTTACATTAAATTACATGCAAATGATAGCTAATGGATTTACAGCTTACATGTTCCACAATGCCAGAATACTTCTTTAGAGAACGATGGGTAGTGTAACTAACAGGACTCTATAAAGCGGCCACTTAACTTAAAAACTATTCAAAGTAGCCAATTGTATGTATAATTAAGCGTTCCCTTACGTCAAAGAAATGTAGGTTATTGTGCCTGCGAAGAAACGAAACACTGATATCTTAACAAACTTTGGAATAACTCGAAAAAGGCCCATAGGAACGAAATTTGAAGGATCAATGAGATGAATAAACTTACCGGTCTGCTTTGGTGCAGAGGCAGGGACATTTAGGAGCCGAGAAGCAACTGACAGTTTATTGCGCTTGATCTCGGCACGCTTTTTCAACTGATCGTTTATCGACTTAATGCGCTCGAAAATCTAAAAATACAGAGCAAAACAGCTGCCTAATGCGCAATGCGGAATTATGATGCGTCAATTAGCAAAAGTAAATCATGACAACCATCGACATTAACATACCTCTGAGCAATCCTGTTGCAATGGAATTAAAGTTGAAGGGTTACATATTAGACAGTTCCAGGAATCCTCATCACCGAGGTCCTCAATACTGTGAAGAAATGTTCTGCCAAGATTGCGTTTTATGCAGCTTTTGCAAAAGGTGTTAGAACAGGAATCGCAGCATATGAGATCGCCACCATCACCACACCAACGACAATTTTCATCTTTCCCGTCTACATCTTTAGCAAAATTGCCTTTCCCATAGAATTTCAGGCAACGCTAAATTGAAATAATAGTGCACTAAAACATCTTACTTTGCAGATAATAACACTCAGATGTGGGTGAATTGCACAAGCAAAGGGGCTGATACGAACTGCACAGCTCGTGCACCGTACAGTATCCACGCCGCCAGGCTGAAACGGGGTGCTGGTGGACGACCTTCTAGGCAGCGCACCGTCCTGTAAATCAAACTGTACAGAACACCCCTGCGAATCTTCGACGCCAGCGGGCTGAACGACGGGAGTTCCATCCAATAAAACAGTGTTGCCTGTCGCGTCTGTGGAGAAAATTGGCTGATCGACAGCACCATCAACCTGTGGACCAGCTGTAGTAGATTCCGAATTTACTGGCTTTGAATTATTAGAAACAAGCGAGGTACCAGGGGAGTCATGTGAACTTAATCGCACTAAATCCTGTCCAAGTACAAGTTTAGTAGCAGCTGGTTTTCTAAAATTTTGGGAAGGCAGAAACCACATCTTACTTCCTCATAATTCAATATTTCAACATCAAAAGCACAACAGAGAAAACACATAAAATGCCAAAAGCGACAAAATAAAAAACCGAAACAGAGCACCACATTCAAACCAATCCGATCATACACCGCGGTCCGGAGACACGTTAGTAGAAACGCCGGAAAGGTCACCCTGTCCCTATCATTCAAGATCGGCGCATTTAAATCTGAAATAAGGGTCGAATTAGCATATTACCACCAAATTTCGGCAAAAGTCTGAGAGTATATTAATAAAATTTAATTAGAAATAAAAAACCGTTAATTTTAGTGAAAGTAAATGGCCAAGCGCTAAAATTTTCAGCATGCTCCAGTAATGCCTAAATATCGACGATAATCTTTGATGAATTAATTTCTTTCCTCATCCTTCAAAAATTTTCGTACATCATCATCCGTATTTATCCCCAGATTTTTTTGTTATTAGTAAATTTGCTATCGAGTATAAATAACCAAATTAATTCAACGTAATTTCACCCACTAATTCTTTTATTGCAAGTGCATTTGCAGCCAAAACTGATAATTGTCTTCGTTTCTCTTATGTTATTATCCTGTTCATAATTAATTCATCTGTAATAACTGTTCCTGGAATCAAACCTGCTCCTGAAATTACTGGTATCCAGTGCAAATTTAATCTGACGCATCAGTATGTGTAGGCAAGTAAATGCCCAATTTTCACTAAGCACAAGTGTCAGGAATAAATGGAAAATCAGTTCGTGAATAAAGGCCTTTTTCATCATTCGGTGCAAAATGTTCCTCAAACGTAAACCTAATTATATTTAAAATAGCTTGGAAATAAATGACAAATTTTTTTATATACCCGAAGTTTCATATGTACTTGAAGTCAGATTGAAAATGCTACAGTTTTTGTTAGAATTATTTTTTTAAGGGCAGCTGACTGTAAATAAGGATTGCCTGTGAACCTAACGTCGAGAATTAATTGCTAAAACACGTAATATAATTAATTAGAAGACCTCGTGACTTTAGAATAGCGCTTTTATGATTACGCAAATAAATGCAACTTGAAATTATGCGTAGCCAACCCCGAACACGCCGGCATACGTGTCATAAATTTCTTACATTTTCATGCACTTCTACAAATTTAACCGTCGTCTTGGGCTTTCGCAGAATTTCGGTGTTTCAGTTTGTTAATGGGAATTTTCTTTTCCTCTACTGTTCCTGTACAGACAAACTATCTTCTCTGCTGTTTGATATTGCCACAAGAAATAACTATTAATTTCGTTATTGTTGTTGTTGTTCGCATTATTATAAGTGTTCACACAGCAGATTTTGCACAAACACACATCGACACAGCAGTTAACTAACATTGACGCATTATTCGTCCACCTGTTGCTGTTTATCTTCCTTTAGCGTGCAATTTGGCTTTTGCCGTTTGATGATTTAGGAACTGGGTTTGTAAGCAGCTGTCTAAGCGGTTGCCAGTATTGGGATTCATATAGCCTTCGAATGACAATTGTTAAAGAAAATTCCAGTTTTTCGGTTCAGCCGTTGGTGTCACTTGTGAGGCCACTTGTCACTTGTGTGAAAGATCACACTTCTGCCAGATCACACAAATCACCAAAATCAAGACTCATGGAAAATTAACCTCTGCCTTTAAAACCGTTTTAAATAGGGATTTTTGGTTTGTGTATGCAGACTTCCGACCTAATTCCAAGACTAAATGCTAAGTTAGACATTTTTGAAAAAAATGAAATCTTGTAACCTTTCATTAGCATATGATACCTCCTACCATGATGTTTGCTATTGCATTTAAATGATAATTTTATCAATTTTGTTAATACACTTATTCATATTCGAACCACAGTGCGCTAATGTGATACAACAAAATTATTTTTTGATCAGCAACTTATGCACGATTTGTTATTTCAGGTTCTTGGAAGATTATAATTTCGGCGCACAAATTTTAACAGAATCCTTCCCAATTTTGGCTACGACAGTCGAATAGCGTTCATGTAAAGTGGGAGTGTGTTGATTCACACTCGCTAATCTGATCACTCCACCCTTCGACAAAGGGTCCCCCTTTTTGCAGAATGTCGCCAGCCGCGCGGATCCCCAACTCTCCCTTCATTAGCCCGAATATTTATCCTGGATTTTCCTCACACCTAGGTTTCAATGTTAAAGTATGCATGACCCACACATCTGAGGTATAAATATACATGGGCAACTGCCACTCACGACACACCACAACCAACTTGGTTGAGCTCTGAAGTAAATCGTTATGCCCACGTCCTCTCCGATCTTCATTGCGGGTATCAGTGAAGCGTAATCGAGCCAGAGTTGATTCAAGACCACATGCTGAGGCCCACGGCAATTGCAATATTGGGTCCATAGAGTCGCTCGACGCAAACTAACACAACTTGCAACATTTGGTCTTACTTAAATATTAAAAAAGACACATTGTTTGCAACTGAAATTTTCTCTTCACTGGCTACGTGGTCAGTTCACTGTAAATTTATGAAGTGTAATTGAAAAAAAATTATTTTCAGTGCTTTTTAAAGTCTTGGATGGGTCTAGTTTTTGAGAGAAGGGTCGGAGGAGTTCCAAAATTACCGCTGGCGTAGACCACGCTTTCAAGTTTGTTACTTGAGCTTCCGAGTCACCAGTCATATACCAGTTTGCGAGAAATAAGTTCGATAAATACATTGTAGTACTTCCTTAAGACTAATATTAAGGTCGCTTCATTCAAAAGCTTGCTCGTTAGTTTCAGACACATGTTAATTTTGGGAATTACCTTCCGTTCATTTAACAAAAAAACTTTAGCGAACACCCAATTATAAAAGCAAAATTTATTATGTATTGTCAAAAATCTATTTGAGATATTTTGCACCACGGTAACCTTGAGATGCACAAGAAAAGATTAATTAATCTTAACCCGTAAGTTATATAATTTTATGCATCTAGCTCCTCGGAACTGATTATCGAAACCGCCATTGTAATCAAGGAACCAAGACTAAAATAAGCCAAATGAAGCAACATTTTTAGTGAAAAGAGAATTCCTATACTTCTGCTTTCTTTGACCATGTAAATAAATCGAATGTACGTGTTTTCCTACATCGCAAACAACGTGTTAATGAAGGAAATGTTACCTAAATGAGCCCTATTTTCACAGGTTGTTCAAACGTGATCTGGAGCGATAGTAGATTACATCTAGAGATAATTTGGAAAGTCAGTTGCTTAAAAGGAATGCCAACATACTTGTGGTAATCAATGATAAATTTCAAATCTTGTTACGTGTTGTCCACGCCATGTAAACATATGTAGCAGTCGCAAACTATTCATACGTTAAGCCGATCCCCGTCCATTTTGAAACATTGGAGGTATCGACACTACTGCTACGAAAGATCGAACCTAGGATGCGCTTGTACTAGCGAATCGCACGATAACCTGAGACTGTTATAACCTAACCCATAGGCTTGGGCCCTACACAAAGCCCAGCCTCTTGTGGTGGGTGGTAACATTAAAGGGGAACAGGCTACGACGAAAACCGCTGGATCGCATCAGTGCCAAATACAAGAAACTGCCAAGGACGGAAGTATTTACTTCTGAAGTTTTATAAAATACAAGTCGGCGAGGCGAAACATGTTAGAGTAGTAATAAAAACGGGTTAAAAGTGGTCTTCATCGCCACCACAACCATCTTGAAGTTTCTGGCACTTAAGGTTCTGCACAAAGGCGAAAGCATCGAATAGGCTGATGAAGACGTTGGATGGATCCAGTAGTTCGAACAAGCCACCGCGTAAGAGGTAATTTTGCACAGATTCTATAAGAGAATAGTGTATTTGTAAGCCTGTAGACACATAAAAACGCATTAACTGTTTCTTAATGATAATCAGCGTAGTGAACCAAGGAAGACCATGTTAAGAGTCCCGAGAATGAACACAAATCAACAGGATATGCTAGAGAGACCAACGCAAGCAACTAGTTTCGACTAGTAAAAAGCAGCAGAATAGGTTACGTCGAGTTGTCACATTCTGTTCTTGCGACTGTTGAGAACTGTTTTAAATAAGCCTAGCTAAATAATAATTGCTATTAGGGACACAACAACAATCCTGGAATACGAGACTCAAGAGGGGGTAAGACCGACAATCTGGCGTACTTGAAGGCATACTATCATTACCAGCTTAGATGCATGTGAAAATTGTGGTTGAAGAATAGGACATAGATAATGTGATGATGAAAACAGTAGTTTTCTGAAATTTTAAAATTTATAATGAAATCGACTTAACATGGAAAAACACAATGTTTGAGATGCACTAAACGGTCTTCGCCATTTTCGCAATTAATACCGTTGCACCAATCTGCTGACGTGTAATTAATTTGAGGCTAAGATCATTTTCAATAAAAGACAACTGGTAAGTTGAAAATGAGAAAAGGCAACACAAAACTCACTTGAAGGCGATGCCAGATATACGTTGACACCCACTTCATTGAAATCTGCTATTAGCTAGGGATAGGAAAGGAAATAACTAAAATATATTTGACTGATGTTGTCACTGGTGATGGTAAGGAGCTTTAATGTTGCCAGAATCATTCATCCGCAAAAGGCGCTCTGAAATAAGACAGGATTTTGGAAATTTAGTTCTCATGACAATAATCGGTAAGGAGCTCCAGAACCTTTTCAGCAGTGACCTGGTGTGGAGATCACATTGGAAACCATGAATAGATCGGAAACACCCAGAGTTTGGGTTCGTAGGATCTCGGAGTGCTGCTCCTAACAAGGATGATTGAGTTTATTAAAGAAAAAGCGTAACACCGGAGCTGCGGAACCGACTGCACTAGCGAGATCAATGGCTTTGGTATATCTTTTTGTTATAATTTGATTGTGCGAGGCAAAAAGCATGTCAAAGTATTTGTATGTCTAACATTGTGGCGAGGCAGCAACACATGGGCTGCAAGACGAATGTGCGCCAAAAAATTGTAATATGAATCAGCACAACCGGAATTGAGAATTAAGCTTCACTTAGTAAAACAGGTTTAAAAAGATGAATGGGTTAACAAACAACAGTATACTGATTCGGATGAGAGAGGTAGTCGGTAAGTCAACCTTCATGAAATATTTACACAACAAGCAACCTGAGAAGTAATAATTGAGAAATGCCACAATTCAAATTCTGAAAACTGGTTTATCTGTGGCAGCAACAGATACCCACCATTTTGAGAGCGTTAACGCCGACAAAATCAATAAAGTTCCAAGCAGAGCAGTCGAGAATAAGGTGATTCAGAGGGACTTTGTCAAGCAGCGTTGAGAGATGACAAAGAGCTGTCTGCTTCCTCTTCAGTGCTTCCAACTTCAGATTAGCTTGGGTGCGTTTTGTTGTGCGGCAGGGACAGCAACGGGAGTGACATCCGCCTACCGGCTCATCCAAGTCCTCTGGACTACAGGTCCCGTCGCCAAGTTGGATATCTACCAAGAGGTGAGGCTTTGGTTGATAATGTTTGGATTATGCCAGTCATCACCTAGACACACAGCTCACACATTTTACGAATTTGCTGCGATAACAAAATATATCTGAGTAAGATGAACCGAGGTTTTTAACATGATAATGCTCAAAGAAACCACTTTCCCAAGGGCAAAAACTTGAGGTTTGGTAGGACCCAAGTTTGGAAACCTTTCGTTTCAATGAAGTTTTTCTCCCCCCCCCCCCCCGATTTTTTTTCCAGTGAGATAATGAAGGTCCCTTCAAGGAAACGTGGGTTTTATTCAAAGGAAGAGTCGATTAGACAGATGCAAGCTTGAGAGAAGAAAGTCCAAACGCCTAATTTTTTGAGCAAAAATCAAGTTTGGGCTCGGGAGACGCCTTGCAGGCGCATGACTGGAGCTCTTGGGCCAACAACAGCAACAACGGGGGTGAGGTCCTACCACTGCTATTGCGAGTTTAAAAATGGATTTGGGCCTAGGGCGCCGACTGTAGGAGCACGGGGTCAAGATAAAGGTAAACAGCCAGGCGTACACAAAAGAAGGGCTCAGCCGAGACATGCGGCCACCTCAGCATTCACTCCTCGTTGGCAGGATTCTGTCTCGTCACGTCGATATAGTTGAGTGGTGTGAAAGTGGGTGGAGGGGGACGTTTCTGGGTTAGAGGTTCAACTTAAAAATGTCACGTTCAATGTTTAGTGTTCTCGAACATTTAAATAGTTATTAGATAGTCTAAATACATGCCACACGATAGGAGATTCTCACGAACAAAAAACAACGTTCTGGAAAAAGTGGCATGGTTCACACAGTTCACAAGAACCAAACAAAAATTACCTCAGATTCTAATTACAAAAAAGAAATATTGCACTTGATAAGAACGGTTACCATGCAGAGGGTGCGAAGACAGCTGCAAGTCCTGTTGGCTATGCACAGATTTTAATATTGCTTCAGCCTCATTTATTGTGCAGACAAGTTTCTTTTTGCAACAGATGATAGGACGGGGATCGAATCCGGAGGCACGGATGACGGATGCGGCGAAACGTTCAGCCCCAGCGTAGAACAGGTCGCCTTCATATCGGATGACCTTCACTTTTGGGACTTCGACACACTAACAGACGGGACCGTTGAAATTTTATTGAATGGCGACAGGATGCACACATAACAACATGAACTTACGTCTGCATACGAGTCCACGGGCTTAAACACCTCTGTCTTGTCAAACCTGCCAAGAACAAGAGTGTTTGACAACTGTGCACGAATGAAAACGGTCAGCACAGAAAACGTAATGCCGATTATGAGGCCGTAAATTACGTCCAGAAAGACTGTAGCAACAAGCGTGACTGCCCAGGAAGCCTAGAAAAATTAAAGTCAATTTATGATACTATCGGAGAAATTAGCGCACAAAAGTGCACTGGACATACGAAATCCCAAATGGAGTAGCGCCACAGACGTTTGATTTCGGCGATTTGGTTGAAAACATTCCGAAGAGCCACGAGAATGATTGCAGCGAGACAGCACTATAAGGAAGGGAATAAAATTGGCGTTTTCTTAACGATTCCCGTGGACACAAGGTAACGTCCTATATTTTATAACGTTGCCAAACGCAATTATATTGCTTTAGGTTCAATATTTGTGTAATTTAATGAATGTCTAGGAAACGCCAGGGATAATTATTCAACACCTCTAGGACAAGGTAAATTATAGAACAGGGTATTGAGCTGGTTATGAGAATGCAAAAAAACAATAGCCAATCCAATGTCAGTCATCCTAATTCTGCGGCTCCAAAAGACACGCCATGAATTTGGCGTTAGCCTTAAATGCCTTAAGTCATGTGACATAAAAAGCTAAACACTTTTTACCACTTGCTTGCTACCACCTAGACAAATGTTTCTCACGTAATACACTTGACGCGAGACGGGCAAGCAGATACGATTTAATCAACTCAACAAACAGTGAATTGGATGTTCAAAATGTGAAACAGAAATCATCCAACCAAACGGTATTAAAACAACACAGTTAAGCAATATAAATTAGAGTATCCCAATGCCACATTATGCTAGAGATTTGACCGGTAAACGTCGGGCGACGGATTGTTTTACCAGAGAAAACGACGGCTGAATAAATGGAAAAAAAGTTCCATGGTGAAAATTAATAGCAAAAATCACTCTGGGAAGGCAACAAAAATTAGGTAATTAACAAAATATACAAAAAAGTTTCTTGACTATTTAACTCGCGAGGAACACATGAACAAATGTTGTGTGTACAAGCTGCGTCTTCTGGGACTAGTTTTAGGGCTATGAGGGCGGATCGACTCTAGGCCGACAGCTTTAATACGAATGGTGGATTGCGAATACACGGCCGTAGCAGAACAAGACAAAATGGGGCTATCAACTAGCCTCACGAAAGCGAAACGCACGTTTGGCACATCATAGAAGAGTGGTCCCGCAAAGAGAACGACCATCAAAACGACAAGCGAAGAAACAACTCCAGTTAGCTGCGTCTTTGAGCCCATCGTCACCTGAAGCGCTGTCCTCGAGATCGAAGCCGTCAGTGGATACGTTTGGAAGAAGGAACTCGCCACGTTAGTCATCCCATAGGCCACTAGCTCCTGAGAAATGGGGCAAGAGAGCCAAGATATAAGGCAAGTCGACAAGCAGAAAAGGCCCACTGAATACTTTGAGCAGAGGAATCTTGCAGAAATACATCAATCACGTAAGTAACCGGGAGTGATTGTCTGATACCAACATTTGGCTGCGTCGGCACTTTTCCATCAGTAACACATTCTCCACAAAACCCACGAACGCTAAGAAGCGGCTAGTTGGGCAACAGTGCATTAAAATGCTGACAGAATATCCCCTTCTTCTACTTAAACATGATTTTAGAGCTGTTTGATAGATTTACACAGTCGCTAAACATAAATATACAAAAAATCAGTCATTTTGATGCCGTTTTCCTAGGCGAAAGACTTCTAAGACACCGGTAAATTGCTCTTTTGCCAAGTCGAGTGAGACCACAGGCCAATAACGGTAGAGATACCAGAAAAGTTAATCTTGTCGCAGTTATTTGGGGCTAAACATACTCAAAGAACCAATGTTGCGTCACTGAAACCATAGAGACTGGCAGCAAGTTTCCATTTAACCTTCGAAGTAAAATATTTTTAATCCGAAACAAATTAAGCAAAAAGGATTGCCGCGAAAAATCTTGGTGAGGAAGTTGACGCTTATCATACCGTTCCCAAAACACAAGCTATCAAGGTTAATAAAACTCTTAGCTCGCACCACGAGTTAACTAACAGATAAAACATATCGTCCATGGCTAAGTTAGTCTAAATTTACAAAGTTACAATAAACCAGACAACAAAAGATGTTACCTGATTAGGATCCACGGTGTAGCCCTCCTTACTTGCATAAAAAGAGGCCAATGAATAGGATAAGGAGTAGGCAATGAGAGCTATCACAAACGCATCGCCGATAAGTGAACCTGCCAGGGAAATGTTCGGAATTGAAGGTTCGGGAAACCTTAAAAACAGTGAAAATGATTAAAGTTATGAGCTGCTCAAACACCCAAATCGTACCAATGCGATTTACTTTGGAAAGGCCACATGTGGAAAGGGGTAAGAGATAGGACAATGTAACACTTTGACTTGGAACAATTACGTTTCATGTTTCAAAACCTTTGCGGAATACCGAAATTTAACGAGGAATCTTTACCCCAAAATCTGACTAAAAAGAACTGGAATAGCAGTAGAACCAATGGGCACATACAATTAAGTAAATTGCACAGGTAGTTTAGATCACATAATTTACTCGAATAGAAGAGTAAGTATATCATGATAAATCTAACAAAACGGTTTTTGCGAAATTAAGGAAGGGATAACTTATAATTGACTCACCCAGTAGGAACAGTACCGACTACTCGAACGTTGTATTCGGTTCCTAATTTGAGATAGTAGGAGGTGATTCCACCAAAGACAATCTAAAGTAAGGATTTTGTGAATTAGTAAATCAGAAGTACCTTAGTGGTTTAAGAAGTTCAACGCTTCAGTCACTAAGAGAGACAACTGTTACAGGCTTGTTAGTTTCCACTTACGTCGTGATTGACACGAAATGTCAGTGTTCAGTGACATATTGACTACGAAATTAGTTACGCTGATGGTTACAATATGGGCTAAAACCACCTTACTTTTGCTCTTAACCCAATAAATTAATGAAAGCAGAGAGCAGCTCCCAATCTTAAATATTTTCTTCTCATTTCAATTATTTAAAAATTCATATTTTGAGATGCATGTAGTCCCTTTATTGCTGATGCACCTCAGTAAATCATTCATGCGTTTTTTTCCAGCATCCAGCAAAAATCGATCCTAGAATCAACCTATCATTTACTTAGCATTTTGGATGAAATGGTTTCGGTGTGTGTGATTACGTAAGTGTTCTTGATAAAATTAACAAACAAACTCCTCAAAACTGATCGTGCAACTATGCATCAATCACTGATACCATTAAAATAGATACTCAATGCTTGTAGAATGATGAACACGCTTGTCAGCGCAGTTAGGTGTGAGGCCTCAGATATAAACTTTCAACACGGGTACGGATGCACTCAAGCTAATAACGTGCTTATAATAATTTTTAGTTCATAGAAAACGCTATAGTGCTGCTTTTTTTACACTAGGCGTACAGCGATTGTGACCTGGTCCGAGAGTTGCATTCAACCGGTAAATTTGAGGGTGGATAGCTCGTGGTCAATTTAAGTTGGGCGAGCATGTTCGACGATCTAGGAGAAGTAAGTCGCCGAAACGTACAATCAGAAGCTCGATCGGAATCGGGACCCTGATGCGCTTTGTAAGGGGTGGGTTCACCCAAAGTTGGAATGTGTACAGGACCATCATGCAGGCAAGGGCAAGCCCAAAAGTAACCCAATTTGATTCAGGCAAATTGGAGCAGATCCTGTAGAAATTCTAAATGCAAAACAGAATGTCCGCAAATAAATCCAACCGGAAGACGTTTTTAATAAACACTTTGTAAAAATGCCTATAGCCAATTAGGTAATTTGGCAAACCTTAGAAATCTACCCGATCCAACTGTTGCTCAATCTATTATAGTGTTCCTGCCGAGTATTTATGGGTACGCATAGCTCATGTTATTAGTGTGTACTTAAAAGTATGCATTTTCACAGTAGACTGGGAACCATGGCTCTGGCCTTCAAGGGGCCATTCAACACATCCGAAGTGTTCCGGTGGTGTCTGAGCAATCTGAACGAATTAGGGCTCAATCGCCTGAAGGGAGGCACTGACACTGTAACGGGCCCGGAGGCAACAGACTTCGACAGCATACAGCCGACAGCCTAATCAGCTAAGTTAACACATAATCATCGCCGAAATTCCCTATCTTAAATTATGGGTAGCAGCGAAAAATATATAACGGCAATTTAAAGTATCACGAACCAGACGAAGAACTTTTCCTAGAGAAGACGCAGTAACATACCATAGGAACATTATAAAGCCCAGTGCTCTTCTTGATATGAAGACCAAATACGACGAAGAGTTGTGACATGCCCACGTGGATGGAGGAACCAAGGATGAAACCGGAAAGCATAGGCTGTGATAGCAGTTGAGTCAAGAAGCCAAGTCGCAAAATTCCCATCGCTAGCTAAAATTGATGATTTGGGTATTGTAAAAAATCAGACGTCACTAAATTATGAAGGTTAATTGACATTCTCGTGTTTACGGTGTCACCTACAACCCTGGGCGCTCCTGAGCGTTGTGCACATCTTTTTACATGCATAGAAAAAAGTGCTTTCAGGTGATAATATTGTTAGTCGCAATTAACATACACAAAGCTATGAAATGCAGCGTTCACGGGACAGTGGGAGACTATTTTACGGAATAAACTAGCTTGGAATGATTTCACGATTAAATTACTCAGGATGCAATTAATTCACGAGGAAATATTAATTCACTTCAGAAGGTGTGAGCTTGAAAGGACACAATTCACAGCTAAATTTTAGATAGGCCTCATTCCATGATTTAAATCGGTAAGATTGCGCAAAAAGGCGAATAAATCAATGAAAAAGTAAATTTTCATGCCGTTATTTGGTACGTCCATTCTGCAGAATCGAATAATCGACCTCTGAGACTGCACACTTAATTCGGAGGTCATGTCAACATCTTCTGCGTCAAAATGGATTTCTTCAAAACACATAACTAATTACATTAGCAGTAAGAGGAACAAAAAGCACAATTCTGGCCATAGCGGTATTTACTGTAATATGCAAATTTAACTTTAACGGATATATGGCAAAAGTCAATGTCACAAAAAGGAAGTCTTTAGTTTTCCACATCACACTCTACAAAAAAAACAAACTGGTCTACCAAACTTATTCACTTCAATAAGTTGATGTCGGTTTTCTACGAACTGAGATGTCTTAAATAGAATGAAACACCACGAGGGCAACAACACGCTTTCTAAAACGAAAACTACGACACGTACACATGAAATTTGCTTCTTCCGACCAAGTACATGTCCACGTCCGAGCTTTGTGTGGACCCGCATATCTTCAAAATTGAAAAATAACTGTTGGGTGGAACAATGGAACATAAACCATTCTATCTGAGACATTTTGGCCCCATGCCCTCTCAAGTCAAGAAGCGTGTGACAGATCAGTCAATAATTTGTCTACTTGCTAGACATACATGGTACTCTGGGAGTAGTTTTTGCATTCCAAAAGCGTTGAAAGACACGCAAAAGTCAGTCTAGCCTCAAAAGAGCAAAAATAAAGCGTTTTTACGAGGGTGAATCGCCACCAGTGAAACACGAGTCGAAGAGAACGGCTGCAGAAGTCGAACTTAAGTCCAAAACCCAGACTGGACAATTCACATTACCAGTAACGCTACGACAACGAAATTGTTTCATGCAGACGAAATCCTTTGTGAGTTTGCATTATCGGTATTATGCAACTTCAAAAAGATGGTTTTATTTGTAACAATGAGTTAATGAGGTTAGTAAATTCCTAGCATTGTTGCAGAAACAAAAAGACAACGGCTCAAATAAATTATTGGACACCCTTAACAGAGTTATTCCACGGGGTGAACGTTTTTGAGAAGTTGATAGGCCGTCGCTTCCGTGTGAGGGAACAGAGCCCTAACTTAAACTGCTTGGCAGGTCACTTGAAGTTTCACCGAAAACAGCCGTGTACTGGAAGAACCATAATTAACCTTACAACTAACTCTAAACAGCAGATTTTTACTTGGGGACATAGCATGACGAACAGCGTGATCGTCTTGGTGCTGCACATATAAGAATATTAATGTCTGATCTGATACCCAACAATTCTCACTGAAAGACCGCTGGCAAAACATTAAGATTAAATTCCAGTGCATATTAAATATTGAAACAGTATTAAAATGAAGTTGCAAGAAGTGAGCCATGAAATGGCTGGGATGATAACGCGAAATGATTGTTTTTTCTATTCTAAACACGGTCACACACATACCACCAAAGCCACCATAACTTGTTTACGGAAATCTGGGCCTGCAAAACAACTGAACCAATTAACCCGAAAGGTAAAAGCAAATAAACAGCAAGAGCTAAAACTGGGAAAACCATTCTTTGTAAATACCAGATATCTGACGTTTTGGCTTCTATTATAGCTACACATATTTTATACTAGTAGGATGGGCAATATTTGATAAAAACAATTTACAATGTCCTCATTACGAAAACCAGGCGTGGTGGCCTAACCTGTATGAGTCCGACGATCATTGCCAGTGCCGCGGCCATGACAACTCGAGCAGCGACATCGACGTCCTCTTTCGCCGCGGTTGAAGTCAGGTTTGTCAGTCCAGACATCGTAGCAGGGCCTAAGACTACAAGATGGAAAACACTGCAGTACAATGACGGACCTATATGCATTTGCACAAAAACTATTGAGCTGTAGGCATTACTTGATTCTAAAGTCCTTTTCGCTAGAGTTTCGCCAGTTATCCACATATTAAATGCTATCAAAAAGGTCCTCAACTGCTTTGTATAGCCAGGAGTGACTATATTTCTGAAGTTCGATAATCTGACCTCAATTCAGCGTCTCACATCCGTGTACTACTAGGAAACACCTATGCTGCATGCCCAGACAACGCCAAAATTGTTTGCAGTAAGGACGTCGATCTTCTAGACCTCATGTAACATTCCCGATCTCTACATCAACAAAAAATTACTTTATGGGGACTCAATTCACGAAAGCAAACGATTCCTCGTCCGTAGAGAGTTGAATCACGTACCCGTCAAGGCCGGACGTTCACAACAATTAAATTGCACAACACCTGTTCGGAAACTTGTTGAATTTGACGTTTAAAACACTAGAGAATGAAAGCTAACTTTTCGACGCCCTTTAACACCAAATTCTCTAACACCGCTGAGTACCGCAATTCATTTACTCAGATCACAAAATAACCTCTCAGGCCAATTATGCGACATTTGTTTCAACAACTCAACCTTGTTTATTCTAATTTTTAAACTTGACGATTAGGCAGTAGGGTCACGAATTGCAGCCCATGTTACAGAGGTGACGATAACCGCGTTCAAGGTTAATAACATTAGGCGAATTTACATTTATTCTTCCACCATGATATCTATATATAATCCCCCTTTTACTTATTTTGGATATACATCTATAAATTTAATACTCCTTCACATTTCTCAGAAAAATACGTGGTTCTGTAATTTCGGCTTGTGAAAATGTTTTACCAATGAAATTGAAAAAAATACCGAAAATATCAGTTGGAGGTTGGAAATTCCTTGGGGTAGATTAGTAACGACTAATATAATGTGCAGGTTCGCGTCACTGGAATAAAACGAATATGGACAATATAATCCTGCAACTGTAAAGATTACTAAAATTCACGAGGACATTTAATAACCTAAAATCGATTTTGTCAAAACGGTGATAACGAAATAAATGTAATGTAACTTACGAAATGGGGAAATCTGGGGTACATTGCGGTCAAGACAACCACCAACAAGAAGACTGACGACTGCCATCGTTCCTAAGGAAAAATGGCAAAACCGGTTAGGAGAGGAGCTAAGAGCTGCAAATGTGTCCTTAACACATACCTAAGGAAAGATGCCGTGAAGTACCCAGAAGAAAGTAGAATAAGGGTGCACACATTGAACAGTAGAGGCCGTAAACTGGGGGTAATGTGGCTAACATAGCGTAAGCCATTCCTGAAAAGCAAAATGAGTAAGTACAAAAATTTTGTAGGGCTGCCTAAGAAGTCATTTTTACAGTAGCTACAATTTTAATCATAAAAGTTTCCCAATAAAATTGGAGAAAAATTCTCCCCCCTGGCTTCATTTTTCTGAACTTAACCTTTAAGCTTCAAATAAATCGACAAAGAGCAAAAAAGGGATTAATGTCCACCACTAACACAAAAGTACCCACATATATTTTGCTAACATGTTTTTGATTTAATCTACAAGATCGACCCTTTCAACCTAACTTGATGAGTGTATGTCATCGTGAGTCAATGAGCAAAATTTAATGAAAGGAGTGAGAATGACGCCTGAGGACGCTAGGCGAAAACACTACCGTTCAGGTGCTTACGTGTCTATGGGACTACTAAAAAAGAAACCTGGTATAGAAATGAGCACCCGAAAACATTTTGCTACTTACTAAGGGGTCGTGCTATCAGAAATAAAAAAATGAGTAGCTTTTTTGTTGTTTCATTTCTTTTTAGACATACATGCAGGAACATATTTTGGCAATTTTTGATTTTTTTTCATAAAATAATTTACAAGATACGAACGCTTGTCTCTCCCTTACCACATAATACCTCAAAATAATAATAAGAAGATACGTATTCACGCTGTTCCATTGTCACGAAAACGCAAGGGGTTATAAAGTGCTAGGCATCTTGAGTAATTAGAAGTTTGTTAAATCACTATAACGAAAAAAATCAATTCAAGCTTGAATAACAGCGGAAAAGGTCGCACCCTGAGGGACATGCATGACACCAACAGTGAATCCAGTTATCAGATCATTCGCTAACCAATTCTTCGATTCATATTGGCACATAATGGCCGCTACGGGAAATAGTCCGTGCAAGAGACTCAACAGTAACCCGCACGGTCCGTCGTAAGAGCGTTCGCCACAGTACAAAACGCGAAGCTTTTGACAGACCTTTCTCGCCATGGCAGCAGACCTTTGGACGGGTGTCCTAGAAACAAGCTGGGGATTCCTATGATACAATGCATCAAATTCCGGCTGAGTATAGAAATTGCGTTCATGTTTCTGACCATTTCGAGCCTCCTCCGTGTCGCATGCAGGAATCATCTAAATTGCGTCAAAGTATTTAAAGAAATTTCACAATAATGTTACATAAGACCATTCCGCTATTGGATGGTCCACAAGAATAATGGTCGGAGTTGCATTGACATTCAAAACAAAGACAAATTTTACCAAATTATTATGTATTTAGCAAAACATTGAAAATAAAATGACTAAACCAATGAAACTGTTTGTACTTGAGACTGTCGTTCCAAACGGTAAATGGCCATTCGTCTTCACATGTGAACTAGGTGCCTTAAACAAATTCCTTGGCATCATATGGGGTCCACTAAGACATATATAGTAATTGGCACTTAGAAATTTATAGGAAAAAGTTTTCGCAAAAAGTCATTTCCTGCAGGCAGTCAAACCGACAAAAAGGGCACGACTCCAATTGGTACCCGTATTCAAACAGCACGTAAGAAAAATATGACCTACAAGTTAACGGATGCCGCGCAAATAAACACCAACTATATGCAACAACATATTGTGTAATTCAATACAAGCCAGCTAAATTATAGAAAAAGTGCAGTTTTAGTGTTTTTACAACATTTTGTAATATACATTTAATTTTGTTGGCATTAAATGTTATTCCCTGTTTGAAATATTAATTAAAATTTCAAAGATTTATTTTAGCACGTTGAAGCAAAGGTTGGCCCACATATATCTATTCCATAATCTATGCAATGCAACTAATAATGGAGTTACTCCTTATTGCAAATAATATTTGCATTTCTTCAGAACCAGTGTGAGACGTGAACATTTGTCCTTTGTTCAGCAACAATTGATGCAAATCACTTTCTCAATTTGGTATTTTAAATATCGTTGCAAAGAATGGATTTATTTGCAAAAATAGCGTTCAACCTGAACGAGTAATTCAAACTTCACTAAATGCGATTAGATTCCATTTAGCATTGTCGAATCTAGCTCTTCAATTATTTTATCTAAATTGTTGGTGTGCTCAGATACCCTTCGAACCTATTTAGAAAGTAATGGAATATGTTGCAATGAAACTCTGCTATAATTTACTTAGGTCAGATTGGAGCGGCTTCGTTTCAATACCTTACAACCCCGCTAGTCGACAGTCCGCAACAGCCCGAGAGGAAAGGCGGAACCGATGATTGCAAATATGACGGTTTATTTGCATTCGACTCCCCAAGTCTTTTATAGCACAGCGCGCGAGTGCATCTCAAACGTCATCTGAAATCGACACTCAGTGATATTAGATCAAGTGGTGAATTATCTTTACTCACCCTCGTTTGATGAATGTTCACTGCAAGATAACTGACACGCAAGTAAATCTAGGTAGCTGTAGCCTACTTCTAGCGTTTTACTACCTTGGCATAATATACCATTGCACAACTCATAGGCAAACGCACTATGCACCTAGAATAAAAAGTTTGGGGGCGAAAACTCCAAGGCAATAAGAAAGGCCTGAAAAGAACCACTATTTCTTACCGATACATAATTTCTCAGGCTCAATTCTTTTCTTTGGGTCTAAAGAGTTCAAATCTTCGAAATTGGGCCTTTCTTGAAAATTGCCAGGTTTTTGTTGCCTTATTAGGCATATCTAAAACTGTTGCAACTATTTCGGTATTTTTGAGTTCGTACAAATTCTACAATTGTTCACGTAACACTGCTCTGAATTATCATAATTTCATTGACTATTTTTTACATTAAAGATACTTTTATCTTCAGCAAGGACATATACAAATATCTTTGAAGATAGTTTTCATTGTAACACTTAAAAGGGAATTTTTTGAGCAGAAAGCGCTGGATTCTTCAAAAGCCACATTGATGCAGATGGTGTGACCGAAACTGTTCCCCACCAATTCATGGGTGCAGCGCACCACTGGACGTTCCCAGGTCCATGTGTTCTGATCGCGGTGCACAAACACGCTTTGCTCCTTTTCAAGATTTAAATCGCCTTCTCATATGCAGCATCGCTTAGCATCCAAAGGTTTAGCCGGCACTTTTCCAGCCACATGGAGTCGTTTTTAGTACATCAGTTGCATCTACCAACTAGCGAGACAAATTATCATTCTGTCGGCCATCCTAAGTACCGTAAGAGAAAATATCGACTTTACTCCAGTAGAACTTGTTTTTGGTACGACTGTGTTTGCCGAGTTAAGTGATTAGTAATGCCGGCATCAATGCTGAATTACCTTTTTCATCGTATGTTGATCTGCTGGAATGCTTTACAGAGGAAATATGACACACCACAACAGGCCTTTACAACAACCTTGTGATGGCCTCTTCAAATGAGAACGACGTGAAAACATTTGTGACAGGTAACGGAAATAGTTGTAGTTAACCTTCAGAGGGTAAGGCTTGCCCACAGGTTGATTGGGTGTTAAACAAATATGTGTTATCTAGCATTGGCTGCTGTCGCCAATCTCAAGAAATCACACTCACGCACCCACATACAAAAATACTTGGCTGGTAAAAAACCTTATAGACGATCCAATCCACTGTCACCTGTGTTACCGCTATTCACAGGTTGTTACTGGCTGCTAACTAACAGCATTAAAAGTTAGCGCCAGCAAATGTTACTAAGTACCTTTGTAAATAAACAGTTGTTTTAGTTATTCTGTAGATATCAGACTTATGTAATACTAATTTGAGCTTTTGCGTTTCAGATTGCTGCATTTTACCGTGTTTGCTTGGGGAAAATATATCTAGTATTTCATTTTAACGTTTGTGCAAGAAGTCATTAGTGGTTCTCGATCTTAAATCAAATCCAATTCTGTACGTTTTCAAATACTCATGATCTCTGTCATTGGTGTCACTGCCACATATTGCGTAATCAATGTCAAAACGGTATCAAAATGGTACTTTTACTTTGTTACGGCATGGTATAGCAAGAAATAAGACTGAAATAATGAAGGAGCAGCCGAAATCAAGTCGTGGAAAGAGGCGCCTCTTAAAGGACAACAAGTGCATTTATATAGCCTCCCTAATCATCGATCCTCGAACGAACAGAGTTACGTGAAGTGCACTCAAGTAGTTCTATTGAATCGTGTTCGCTCACGCTTGCTAACTGTGCCCGCTTGCTGCTCTCCACAACTCCCTCCAATCAATATATGAATTAATATTCTCGGATAAGCAATTGAATATCTAACTTTTACAAATGCACGCCTATAATTGGCAAATGTTTACATTATAAGGTCAAGTACAGTAAGGTCATTTGTCAAAACATGAGACCCAGATTGTTTCCAAATCAGCGCGGGGTTATATGGAAATTTCTGGGACATCACATCATATCTATTTCCGAACAAACTTTCATTAAAACAGTTGCTTACCCCCTCAGATATAAAATGTAATGTGTTCTTTACATACCATATTTTAAAGAGAAAGTAAATCAAGTGTATCTTGATTTAGCAGTCACCGTAAAGTAATGGTAGGATGGACATGTTTATATTAAGCATATATTACACACAACTTTAGAGATAAAGGGTCATTTATAACAAAGGACTACCAACAACAAACTAATTATCAAGACTCATTAGTAAAGCAGTTCCTCGTTTAATCCAATGTTCGGGAGGAACCTCACCTGTCTTTAATTCAACGCCAATCATAAACGACGGCTTATCAGGGGTGCCTGCTCTGTTTTGATAGTAGTAGCAAGGGCAAATGTAGGTTGCTGAAAATAAAGGCAACGGTTGCAGAGGCAGCGAAAATCGCCATATAGAAACAAATTAACATAGATTTAGAAAAAACTTACACTTGGCCACCTTCTTTTTATTTTCTATCGCTTTAAAGTGTATGACCGGAATACTGCAGACCAGCATCATGGGGGCAGCTTCAATGAGGCACTGGTTTTTCATGTCCCAGCCGGCTCCTTCCAAGAAGAGACCACTGACGTACACTCCTTCTTTTGGTGCAGAAGCAATATTCTGTTCAGAAATCGTAAGTACGTTAAAGTCCCAACTTAGCGTGTCTACACCGGCGCCATGAGTCCGAGCTGCTATCTGCATAACGGCAGTCAAGAAACCTGTTGGGAAGGTGAAGGCGCCAATCCAGAAGGTTTTCGGTGGCTTCGCTGTCTGAGACCATTGCTTAAACATCTTGGTCCTCTCTGCAAGGTCACGCACCCAAGAGCTCAGTGGCCGTAGAGAGTTGTAAGCCTAGCATTACACATGACACCAACAGTAGTTACAATGTGTATAAGACGTGATTTTAAATAATGGCTGGCTTTCAAATCTCCTTTTGCATGCTACATGAAACCTATTTTACTACAAAAACGGACATTCATAGTGTCTACTGCTAACATAATTTGATGAAAAAATCAATGTCTAAATAAACTTACACATTTCCTACAAGTAAAATGTGAAACGGCTTAGAAATTGAAATTACATTCCACTAATGTTTTAATATTAACCGCTCTGAAATAATTGGTGACATGAAAGGAGACATCGGAACTTTAAAAAAAATAAACATCTCGACTGTTGTACAATGTTATCCCAGCATCGCAATGTGTACGGACGTTATCGTTTGAAATACGATTTTAGAAAATTGAGGCACGAATGCATGACAATTTTGACGAAATGCTCACATATTGCCACTGAGTAGGTACTCGGTTTTCGTAGATGGCTCCAGAGATTTCATCCAGCTCAGAAGACATAACGACAAGGCCTTGAATACCTTTTTCAAGGTCAACCAGTTGGTTGCGGATCAATTCCAGTAAAGCGTTGTATCGTTGAATCTCTTGAAGCAAGACAACCTTCAACGGAGAGTGATCGTTGCTAAATATTTTTGCCGTGCCTGCATAGTCCAAGTTCTCAGGCACTTGCTCCTTCATTTTTTTAATTAACGTCAAAACCTTCGATTCGTCTGATTCTCCACTAGCCGAAGACATCTGAAACAATGCATAGTTCATAGCAATTTAATCTAGTTATGGGATAAATGTTACATGATATGACGTTCAGGTAGCCAAAAAGGGGTGATGAGAATTGGTTAAAGAACCTGCCCATCATTTTAACATAACACCATGAAAACGCACTGATCTTTAAATGGCCTTTAGAATGCCCATATTACTACATTGACAATTAGAATAGGTAGACCTGAAACCATCGTTGGCATTAGTTAGCAACCGTTCCAAGTATTTACTGGGCCCCAACAGAGTACCAAATTAACGGTCCTATGATCTGTTGACGCGGTGTGCAGCTGCATTCTTACGAGGAAGTGTCAAGGAATTCACACAGTTGTCTGCCTTCACCAAGTATTTTACCCCAAGCCTCTCTATTCACCTCAGACTCAGCGATTACAATTCAACTGAGTCATAGGTATCCAATGTTTTTCATGTATTCGTGGTTCACGGAATAACTTGTGAGTGTAAATGTCTCTCACACCTTGAAAGCTACCCCATTTGTGGCATATTCGTATGTCTTAATTTCGGTCGCCAGGAGGGTTGATAATGTCTGCATATTTTTTAATAAAAAGATTGTAGTTAAACCTAAATCTTACTTTAGGCTGCACTGACAGTAGTGCATCAAAGAGAATCTTTGCTTCTTGGATTTGGGAAGCAACATCAGCATTAAGATGCTGGCCAAAGGCCTCTGGGTGGTCAATGTTTGGCAGCAATGAAATAAACTCCCGGTATGCACTGAGACTACCATCCTTTGGAATGTAGTAGTGGGGTAGAGGGGACAGCTTGAAAAAGGGTTCACTGATTACGTTCTCTGTGAAAAAGGTATTGATATAAGTTGTTAGAAGACGACGATCCCATTCATCGGTGACGTGTCCACCATAGTTAATGCCTGCAATGAGATAACGCAATGCATCCCATGGTGTCTCCTGATACTGATCAAGGAAAGTAGTTAAAATATTTTCCGAGACTTCGAAATCAGCGTCATTGAATTCGTATGTTACATTCCATCCCAACATGCGGAATTTTCGGCGTTCAATTAAAATGGAGTGGAAGAAACAGATACAGAAGAGGAGCTTCTTGTATTTCTCGGGTTTGGTACAGGCGGAAAACTGGTCCTCCTAAATAACAGGAGAACTTCAGGCTTATTTCCTCATAACGGGCACAATCCAGCCACACTAGGAACTACCACAGACCCTGTTTTACTTATTCTTACTGGGAACTGTGGATGGTTTTTTGGTAGCACATTACTGGGTTTGGCAAACTTGACTTAACCAAACCATGGTTCTCACAACCCTTCAATTCGATGCTAATGACTGTCCGTCATGCTTTATGTCCAGCATTTGTCTTCAATGTGCAGGTAAAACACAAACTAACTTTGAGAAGATTGAGAAAATTCAACTATCTAATGCTTCACCAATTGGTCTCAGTAGCAGAGATCTTGAATTAAATTTGGGAGCCCAGTAGTTTGGTTTTTTTGTCACTTTGGCTCCAATTAGAAATGCATCCATAAGAACTTACCTTGATGATATTGTAAAGTCGCTTCATATTGGCACGAAGACCTTTCGGTGGCTCAGTCGTCATTTTGATACCAGCTTGCAAAATTGAGATGGGGAAGTGTGGGGTAGGACTAGAAGAGAGCCAGAGGCGAAACTCAGAATGCGTTTGCTCCCTCCCCATTAGCTCCACCAGCTTGTCCAGTTGCGGCATCCAAGAGAGCGAAAGGTGGCAGTTGGCGAGGAACACCCAGTTTCCATCTCGCATGCCTTCTTCTATTAGCCGAGTAGCTATTGGGGCCTGTCCCTGACCCAGAGAAAGAGCGTTGAAACGTTTGCCCATTCCACAAGCCTCGGCCATTTGCAACAAGCCTGCTGTCGGATCCACACCGGGTGACAGCACAAAGATAAGAGGACTTCTAGCTGAGCTGTCTTCCACGACCTACAAACGCATTATCATTGAGTTAGATTGTTATTAAGGTGACGACTGTCCCCAAAAGAAGCCGAATTATGCATGTATACGTTTTTTATACATTAATTGGTGATGGATGCGATTTGTCAGAGAAATTATCAAAATTTCCAGTTTCCCTTCTGAATATCTTTAACGTGTTCCTTGTGAAAAGGTCCCAAAAACAGGCGAGATTATGTCTGCGAGGCCTGCTACCTTTCGTACAAGATATGCAAAATGGTTTCCAATTTAGAGCAGAAAAGATACTACTATTAGGCAGAGCTGCTGAGCATGCTTTTCTAGTTGTTACCCAATAGCACAAAGCAACTACTAGAAAAACTGCCTACAGAGCCACGTCATCACTTGAGACAAAGGTCTAGATGTATTCACATTTTCTGAATTCAGTCACGCTAAATTGGAGACTTAGATATATATGGGAACAATTTACAATACCAATTGAAATATGCGGCAGGAACAGACAAACAATGCAATTAAAATGGGTCTAAAAACCTATGGAGGGAAGCAGGAGATAACGTACGCCTCTCATATCAAGAACCGGTGGTTCAACAAACTGCTTCCCAATGTTGTTGACAATGAATTTTGTAGCACAGAACGTCACACGATCAGGCCTCAGAGAGCGCACAATTAGCATACGCTGGAACTCATTCGTAGATCCTTCCCACTCAGCTGGAAGTTGAGTATTCTCTGGCTCATCCGAGATGTACCAGTTGTGCCAATCTTTTGTGTACTGCTCAAATGACGTTACGATACCACGGTAGTTGGCTAGTTTGTTTAATTCAGTCATGTTATCCCATGCGAGATCTGAGAGCCAGGAGGAGGCCGGGTTGTCCATCTGGTGAGCCCTATCGAGAACAATACCTCCTCGTAGGAAGAATAGGTACTCGTCCAGATTGAGTTTGCCCGTCTCCTCGAGGATTTTCATGCAAATTAGGAATGCAAAGAGTAATTTATGTCTTTCAAACAGACCACGGCAAGTGTACCGGTAAACAGCATAGGTGTGGTAGTCGTTCAAGTTTTCTATTCGCTCTGTCAGTCTTGGAGAACGCTGGCTCTTCTCGATACTGATGTTAAAAACGTCAATGTAAGCATCCAAAGCGAACTGGTACATAGGATCGATGGAACTGAGATCATTGAGGACAAAAAATAGAATCGACGCCCTTTTTGAGCATGGTCGGTAACCTTCACGAGCCGTGTCAATTTGCAGTTCTGTCTTTTCTGAAATCATCAAGAACTCAGTGACCTCCTAAAAATGGAAAAAGATAGATTCCTCATGTTTCCATGATGGTTCGTTTCGTAACCTCTAAATACTTAATTTATTTTAGCCTTCCAGAAAAGTAAACAAGCTGTTTCCGTAAACTAGGACCGTAAATAATTTCGGGGCCTATTCACTGTATCACGTTCTAACCTCTATGTAAATAACTGCGCAAATAAAATTTTTGTTGTGAAGGGGATAGTTTCAGGTAGCTTCTAATAATCTAATAATCAGTTTCGAATAGTTCTAGCAAAATTTGACATTTCCCCAGCAATTTTTGTGCATTTTACATGTCTACTAATTTTGGCTGACACGAATTCCACCATCGTTGACGTACAGGCGGCCCAGTTAACCGAGTTTCTTCTTAAGGTACCAATATGTTCTGAGTAAAAGTAAAAAGAAAAAAATATCGAAGTATTGACACAAGCGATTAAGATATCGATAGAGTGTTCTATCAAAGCAATCACTTACTTATACTCAATATACAAGTTTTTTTTTTCAGGATATGCACAACAATCTAACTGAGTACTATTTAATGTGACTCGCCAAAGGATCATCGAAATCCACACGCCCCAAAGGGCTATTAACATTTCTGAATATTTGCTTGCAAAGATTCACTTATCCCAGGTTCAGTAGTTCAAATGTAGGCATTTGTGAGTCATCAAGAAAGAAATTTTAGTTTTCACAAATAGCATTTTGGGCGTTATGAAGGCTTCCTATCAATGCTCTCATCTTTAAACTAGGACATTTGAGAGGTATCACATTTCGCTTACTACAGAAACTTCTCGAGGGCAATTTTGTTTGCAGCACTTAGCTTGGCATCAATTTTAGCATGGAGTGTAAAAACAAACAGTTCTAGTGTATGTTAATTTTTTAGCTCCGTGAAAGTAAGGTTTTGTTCTTAACTAGGAGATGTGAACAGTGATGTCGATTCATTTTCTCGACGACCGTATCAGATTAGACTTAGTAAAATCCGTTCAAGAGACTTTATGTTCAAATCTGACTGATTTAGCAAAATTGGTGATGACTAGATCAATGCCACACTTCAATCAGATCCTTACATGCCTGAATGAGAGCGTGCGCATAAGTTGTTGAGCTTACCACCCTCACAACAGTGGAAAATCCCTTAGACTGTCTTGCACCCGCTAAGAAGCTCGAAGTTGGGTATTTCTACATGTATTGAAGGAATTTCACTCAACACAATAAATCATTCATTGCAATGAGCAGCAGCATCAAACAACTCTGGCAGTGAAACGTCGACCGCCTATAACAAACACCAATAGGAAACGACGCCAGTCTAAGCGTGATGACCCACGACAGACGGCACCAAGGCCTGAATCCCACCTAAACATAACCATGCTGTCAATTTTGTGGGATAGCACAAGTGGTGTGCATTCCGGGATGCTTACAATGAACCAAACGATCAATTAAGGTGTTTGCCGCCAACAAATAACGAAACTAGATAATGAGGCAGCGAAAACTGCCAGAATTGATAGATCCCAAAAGAACCGTGGTTCACCAAGACAAAGCATGCATGACCTCATGCACCCCATTGGCAAGTTATTGGAGCTCAGGGGGGAGGTGATGGCGCATCCCACATTTAGCCCTAATCTTACATCATCAAGTTACCAATTACATCGAAGTGCGCAAATGCTCTTTGAATGGTATAATTTTTGCTAGTACAGCCAACCTCAAATCGCAGGTGGTTTAGTTTATTGCAGATGAGGACCAGAAACTGTGAGGGAGGTATCATGAGGTTACCGAAAAGATGGCAAAAGGCAACCGGCCAAAATAAGACTGTGCAGATAATTATGCTTCCTTTTTATTGCCAAAGTTTGAGCTTTATTTCACACTACAAAACTGAAATTACTTTCTTGCCAATCTACAAATTTTTGTGATGTCGTTTGGTGGTTACTCGACCTCAAACTTAATGAATTTATGCATCCTGGCAGCCATATATTTGCATGGCTGAAAAAAATAGTACAAAGCTAATTACACTAGGATTAGCTGTTGCGGTAATGTATTTCTCGAACAGCCATGGTCAAATGGCATCAAGACCAACGCCAATGTTTTCGACAATTTCAAGTGCACCCAACTGACGGTAATTATTAATCGTAGACATGGAACTATCCACAACCTTAGTGATAAGTCGACCAACACCCATGCCAGATGACTAATCTTCCGTTTGTTGTATCAAGCATAAAACCAGATTTATGTCACCCGCGAGTTCTTAACCCTTTTAGCTATCCAGATTCGCATGAACAAATCAGGGGGTTTACCGCAGAAGTGGCTTTTGAGGTCTGAAGAGTCACGAAGAGGTTTTCATCCTCCAGCAGGGAGCCCTGAGTTGCGTTCAGCAGATATAGGAGTTCATTCTCAAGTTCCTTTAATTTTTTTTTGCCATTGGCGATGCCCATGACGAGATTATCTTTTTGTTCCTCTAACTCAGGCTTCTCTTTTCTCACAACTATTCCAAGTAACTGGGCTTCAAGACCTTCTTGCACGACGGCAAAGTTGACTATAGTGGTTTTCGTGCAGACCTCCGGTGTATAGTGCGGATTCGACAATTTTGTCGTCACATAGAACCTAAGAAACGAAACCACTGCCTTTGAAATTTGGGAACGGGAAATATCATGTCTACTAATAAATCTCTATTGCATTCATTTTTTATTAGTCTACAAGGAATTTAGTGGAGGGGAGGGAGATACTGTATTAAATATGCTTCTATTTATCGTAACTTTACGCAAGTATAACCTGGCTGGTAGCATTGGTTCAAATTCAACTAGTTGACATTGATTAAGGTAGGACGCAGTAATTTACCAGTGTTTCTCTTAATCATCAGATATAAAGTCGAAGACTGGTAGTGAAGAAATACAAAAAGGTGCACAAAGTCATACATTTTGAGCGAGCCCTTTTCAGCAAGTATTTCTGTTCAGTTTAACCTAAGAAATTCAAAGCCGAACAGCTAAGGTTCACAGGCCCTTCCATGCACGCTGCACGATCATGTGTAACGGCCAGCACGTCACACATTTCCAGCGTAAATCGATGATTTTTGGCGCATCTTCGTTCCACGAACAGTCAATAGGTTGTACAATTACGTTCCCGATAATTAAACGTATTTGATCCAGAATTATCATGGTAAATGTAAGGAAACTCCCCTTTTTTCGATTTTGAACATAGGTTTAAACATCAGGTAAAGCTCGCTGGGGAAGCTCAACATAGTCAGTTTATTAATACAAGGCTTGTTTGGGCTTCTTAAGTTGCTTTCGATGAGTCTTAGATTGCCCTGATAGGATACACTGGGACGTCAGCCTGAACACACGCAACTGCTGGTTGAAATAGTTGTTTGAGCGTTAAAGAGGAAACCAAGATTCTAATGCCTAAATTGGTGGCTTCTAGGTCTCTAATGGGTCTCTGTAATTGCATAAGTTGTCACAATTTTAGACATAAGACTAGCCTGAAATTGCTGTTGTATTCAATTTCCTTGTCACCTAATCTCATTACTTCAGTTTCTCCAACTTTTATCGTCGACTTGTTGAAAATCGGGTCTAAACCTGGATCAAGAACTTCAAGGATGTTCTGTAGGAGGACCGGTGACCCGTTGGGGATGGCCTGCTCGAGAATTCGCATGTAGTTCTTCATTTGTAAATCGATCACCTGAAGCTCGTTACCCTCCATTGACTTGATCCATTTCATGGCTTGGCACTGTGGATCAATCATCAAGGGCCATCGGGAGGCCTTGCTGACAATAACGCCATTCTCCACCGAAAAAGAGTCGCGAGGAAGCCCTTGGAGATTCCACTCACGGACCTTATGGTTTGAAAGAACATTTACTTTGATCACATCAAGTCACAAAACAGATGCGGATCAGTCTAGTCGGTCGTACGAAATTCGCCTTCATTACAGAAAGCCAAGCCTTAACAAAATCATTTATTGAGCATTTAGCCAAAGTTCAAGTTAATTTGAGCCAAATGATAAAAGTAACCTGCAACCGACAACATCCAAAATCAGAGGTCTCATTTAACTCACTTTTTCACGACAGTACCCAAATCAACATAAGCTCTTCTATTGTTTAATTTGAAGCCAGTCTGTGACCTGTAAAGTTAGCATATGGACGAAAGTTTTGGGGATGGTAGAAAACCCCATAATTTACTAGATTAAGATCACATTTTTTTTAAATCGGCGAGATTTCGAAGAAAAGACAAATAATTGTACTTTCTCTACAAAATTGGCGTCCCCCATTGGACCTTGATATTTAGAATAATCTGTCATGAAATATCGACATAGCCGAAAAAAATGCATCGAAGTGCTTGCCTTGGCAGGATCAGAAAGAAACTCAGTAAAGGAGTATGGCGTAGACATCGGGATTTTCTCGGTTTCCACTGCCGAGATCCAAGACTTGACTAATTCCTCGCGGTATTTAGTTAAGAAGGGACCCATGTAAGAAATGAATCCAGCTGAGAGAAGACAGTCTCCTGGTAAAAGGCCAAGTCTCCGTTCCAAATCAGCCACCGTCTGTGTCCAACGCACCTTCTCACCAGCCAAACCGTCTACAAGCATCTGAGCTCTTTCTAGCATTTTCTCGAGAGTCTCCGCCTTTCGTCTCAACTCTTCCTTCTGTTCCATCTATAAACTTAAAATGAACTAGTGATTTTTATCATCCCCTCTTGGTGCTTTCTTATTTCTTTGCAACAATTTTCACCTTGTCGTTATATTCTTGCTGTAGACGAGCCATTTCAGCCATGAGAGCGTCAAGTTTTTCTTGAGCTGCTGCCAACTGGGCCCTTTTCTCGGCCAAGATAGCCTCAGCTTGAAGCAGGCGCTGGCGTTTAGGCTCGACGAAGCGATAGACGCGACCGTAGACTTCCATAGCACGGACCCACATACACAAAGATTTGGCCGCAAACGACACCTAATTTAGCAAACAAGTGAACAAGGTGATTAACACTTTTCAAATGCTACGCTTAACTGTCATTCTTCCTTAATATACTGCTTTATTCATCAAAATTTTATTAGAACAGATCTTAATGGTGATACTGATTCTGAGGCCCTGCTGGGGCGATTGTTCGGCAATATTTAGCGCACTTTGTACAACGACATAGGAGGTTCCAAGAGCCTAGTGAAATGGCAGTTAGATTGTGATTTTAGTTATATCTTTAAATCAGTCGTAGTCAATCAAAAACTATGTTTGCAACATTCAGTTACGTGTAAAAATGTAACATTTATCCAAAAACACTCAACGGTTGTTACTTGAAGATCCAACGAATGAATTAGCTTACCTTTCCGACAACGTCGGGCATGAAGTCATCTTGTTCACAGTAAGCTGTGATTTTCTTGAGGGTTTTGTCGCTGATGTGGTCCTTGTCAAAGTTGACTAATTGGTTGATGAAGTCTTGTTCACCCAAATGCTTCTTAGCTTCAGCCCACGTGGGAGGCGCTTGACGCAGGATCATCACAGCCTCCATGACCTGAAGAAAAATGTGATCAGAGCCACAAGTGTGGTCAGCTTTGCGGTATTGTGCGACTCGCATCTGTTGGATGCCCTCGCGTAATGATTTTAAAGTGTGCTTAAATTCAGAAGAGGCCTTTCCCATTAAAAATCCAGCCCAATTAGTGAAATAAAATGCGAAATGGAAACTTCTCCCAGTGAATTATCGTATAATGTGACCTGACATTCAGGCAAGTGCTTAAACATATAACAGTACCTTTCGAACGAGATGGGGTGGTTGACCGTAGGATTTGATTTCTGTGATATCCTTCTTGTTGAGGGCCTCCAACGCCGTGACAGCGGCCTCCAAAGCGGGCATCGCCTGGGCCAAGTCGGCTTGAGCTACCTCAGCCATCTTTATGCACTTCACTTCATCAACCTTTATCTTTTCTTTCGTAATTGTCACAGACTAGAAAGTAAAAAAGAAGGCAAACTTGCATTTTTGGCAGTTTCATCTTGCAGGATTGCAGATTACAGAAATCAAAGCCGCATTAAGTTAAATAGATCAAAGCCAAGTTGTATTTTAGGGTAGATAATATGGTGTGTAAAGTTATTCAATATAATTACTTTATCAGAGTACCAATTTGTAAATATTGAAACCGAGGTTATCAATCGGAAAGTACCTTTGCCTGTTCATCTGCTTCACGTTTCTGCTCAACCAAGATAATTAAGTAGTCATCGCATTCCTTTTGGTAGGCAGCCACCTTTTCCTTCGCTTCACCCAATTCAACAGACATTTCTATAAAAAAACGAGTCCGGCAACGGTTAATACAGCCACAAAAATACAGTGCGACGATCTTGAAGGGTGCAAAGTTGGATGACCAGCTTTTTTTACCTGATAAAGCAGAATTACGTTTTACTTTACACTATAAACCCACCGGGTTGCAAGTTGAGCAAATTCATGTTTTGAAGTTCTTTTAAAGTAAACTGAGGTGTTTTCAGAGTGCGTTTAATGGTCAATTGAAACCATATGTCATGCCTTACTCACTCAAACAGTAAGCATGGAGTCTACATGTAGGAGAGCTTAACTGGGGTGGCTCAAACAAAAGCGTAAGCGCTTGAGCAAATTTTTCAGCAAGAACCCTACGGGACCAGACAGACTTCGTCCACCAAATCTCTGAAACAGTGACGCCAATCAAACTAACGCATTAGCAACTACTTACCGAAAGTTTTTTTCCGTTTCCCGTGAAACTTTGACAACAAATAAAATAGAATAAGGTTTCGACTTCGTACCTTCGACCTTTTCACGCGTTTCGTCAATTTTCCCCAAACCGCTCTTCAGTCTATCAGCCCATTCATTGATCTCTTTCCTTTTCTCCTCCAGCATTCTGATAAACGCGAATGAAGAATGACTTATGAGTGCTTTTCCGATACGAGGTTAAGGAATATCCTTAACCGATGCTTTAATCCTGAACATACCTTTTGTAACCAGTGACTAGCTCTAGGTAGTTTGTGGGTGTGACGTAATTTCTTCTTCCCAACTCACCCATCATCGTTTCGGACATCTTAGAAACCGAGCCGTGCATTAAGGCGAATACTCGAGACACGCCAGGCTTCATCCTTGTCTAAATAAGATTAAAAAATGGTACTGTTAAGGAAGTCTAGCTGAGTTCTGGAGTTCACAATACATGCTGTTTGCATTAATGAACTTGAGAAACTAAGATAATAACGTAAGAGCGTCGCATACAACCAAAACTCACGCTTGCTTGTTGCACCTGAAAAAAATAATTGAGTATGTTTTAGTTAGATCCTCTGTGGGTACTTTCTTTAGGCTAACCACAAAATCCTTATTAGAGATCCACGTAAACTGAGGGCAGTGGAATCCACATACAAACATTGGTTCAAACCACGTGTGTTACGATTCAGCCAGTCTCCTAATTTAGTTTTCTTGGTGCTTGGCATTCAAACTGACAGGCCATATTTTAGAATAATTCACGTGACAAGCGTTCCGTTTTGATAAAACAAAATTTTCAAAGAAAATAACCACAATTAACAACTTACAGTTTCATCACCAATTAAAAGGTCAAGATCACTCAAATACTTGGCAGCCACCTCCATTAGAGCATCGTTAGGCCAATCACTAAACCAGTCAATTGTAGTGCAGTTCACAAAACCGGGATACATTCGTAGACGATCTCTAAATGGATCGCCAATGGGACTCATGCATAGGACGATGTGTAGATTAGCTCTTACGCGTTCAATGAAATATCTGAGAAGTGACTACAACGAAGTAAACAAAGGTTTGTTTAAATTTTTATAAGGACATGGTGCTAGACGCTTGGTTACTAGTGGGAAAAGTTATGCAGTGTACTGCTCGTCGAACCCTAAAATATGTTTTGTAAATAAGCTTTTGAACTAAACCCAGCACTTTTGACAGAAACAAAACTCATATAATTTTTTAATTGCAAATCCCAACACCTGTCAACAGCAAAATATTGTTTTTAAGGGAGAAGGAAATAGTAGAAAATTTGCATTTTGGTAACAATCAAATTCATGGAAATACTTGAGTCACAAACTGGCTAAGCCCATGTACCGGTAGCTGTGACGAAGCCGAAGACACAGTAATTGGTAGTTGCTCAACCACAATTAGACACATACATCTAGGTCTCTTGCTTCCACGATTAATTCAAATATTACGAAATTAGGAAAAGGTGTTCGTCGAGCGCACCTGCGGAGATTCATCCACACCCTCAAATTTGGCTTGGTCAGATATCGAATTGAATATTTCTTCCATTTCATCCTGCTTAAAGAGATTCGGGACTTCACCGGAGCTCAACAAATTATTAATGTCCTCTAAGAACCCCTCTTCTGCCACCTGGGTATCAGAGAAGAGGAACAAAGTGGGTTGACGATAAACACCTGCCTGACGGTAGAGCCTTTTTAGGTCTACAAAAATCAAAACAATCAAAAAATTCACATGACTACATTATTTTCTCAAAATTTTGACTTTCATTAGTGAAAATTCATCTGGTCGATAGTTTTTCTACCAGGTCTTTGCTCAAAACACCTCAGGTGCCAAAATTCAGATATTGACTAATTGCATCACAGACACCGAGACGATTTTAATGACGACGAGCAATACGGATTGCAAGGTTGTACTCTTTCAAGTCCTCGGTTGCATGTGTACTTGCCTCATAAACGAAGTTGGGGGAACCGAGCCTTTTCGTTACTTAACCAACTAACTGCAGACTTAAAAAACACAGCATTTTCTTTTCTGTGAACGATTTATGCTACAAACGCTAGCATTTGCATTGTAGGACATAACTGGATACTCGATTAATGAAAAGATGTGTTTTTTTCTAAGCTAAAATACTGACCAGTAAATGAAAACTTGCCTATTCGTGACTTAACAATTGGACATCGAATCTAGGTTCACCACTTACACCTTTATATTAAATGGCATGTGACTTGTTGTCAGAGCATGAAAGCGGATTGTGTCAATCTGGTACGACAGCTATCAGAAAACCACTTCAAACTAATTCTGCTTGATTTTCTGATTCGAACGCCTAATTTAATGCTTGAACATTGGATCATGACACTTAGACTTATTCAACAGGCCCCTTCAAGTTTCTGAACTGCTCAATGGCATAATTGTTTCAAAGAACCAAAATATTTTTTACAGACACTTTGCCTAGCTGAATTGCTTGGAGATTTTAGGTGAAATGAAATTCGTTTTTTTTGGATGTTATTTTAGCATTTCAGTAAATTTAACTTATACTAGAAATTACATCATGGCGTAGACTTCATGTCAAATTTCCTAGCATAAAGAATGGGATAAAATGAATCGAAAGCATAGGACGAGTGTTTGTTGAGACACACATGCCAAAAGAAACTGCTGTCCTCGCAAACTGGATCCTGGTAAAGAAAAAGCCAAACCACATGTTAAAGGATATGGAAGTGTTACCTGGGCTTCAGTGATATTTCGCGTACGTTTTAGTTTGAGGCAATTTATAAAGAACTTTAGTCGCTCTTAGGGTCCTATTACTTTACTCAGAGTTTGACTTCAAAGCGTCATCCAAATTCAACTCAAAGGCAGGCTGCTTCACATTGAATTTACCGTGTTCACTTTTGCTTCGATTAAATTACATAACTCACGTATCCTTTTCAAATTTCCGGATTCTGTTCGTTTTATAACCTTGTCGTTAAAACAGTCTTGACTATCTAATAGATTTAACCGAAGTGTTACAAATGCTCAAATTCGGGTAGCAAAACGCACACAAATAACATTTAATAAGCACATCAACTTCTATTTAGGGTTCTTCTCAATTCCTTACCTTCATAGAAATCAACCCTGTGATAGTTTCTATTTACTTCCACCTGGAATATTTTGTAGAGGCAAATATGGCTTGCAAGTTTAGTCATACTCTGACGTCCACTGCCGCCAACTCCGACAAGCAGCATATTGCCACGTGGTTGACTGACCACACGAAGAATCTTGCAGGCTAATAAACAGAAAAAAAGTAGTAATGGAGGGGTCATTACGTGACGGACCAATTCAAGAAAACCAAATTGTTATTGGCTGGGCAGAATCCGTTGCTTCAGCTCACCGAAATACTCCAAGACAAGCAGCAGTATCAAGAGCACTACAAATTTCTCGATCAGTTCCTAACAGCGCTGGAAGTACAATTGTACTTTATAACATTGACTACGAGAATAGTTTTACTTAACTGCCAGTCAAAACAAATATTTCCTTCACTCCCTAAGCCGAAATCAGAGTAGACAACACTAATTAATCGAGAATTCGTAAGAAGGAAGCTAAAACTTACCAGGGGCACTAAATGCATAAATACTTTAAACAACAATTATCCCAAGTTACATTTCACCCACTCTCTTTGAAACTATTTAAGTCAGAGCACCGCACGCTGAGTTCATGGTATGAACTTCAAATTGGGTCTTCATTTGCATTTAATTTAATCTCAATTTGACTCCTCGGTAATTTTGATTCGTTGCGGGACTTACAATTAACACAGAATGCTTGAATATGATTGTGTGTGTTTACAATTGAGGCATTCTATATACTGTTTTCAAACGACTGGATAATTTGTAGGTCACCTCTGTAACATATTTAGACTGTAGGTTATCAGTCGGTTATTTAGCATAAGTTGTAACTCATCATGTAGCTTACTGTGTTCCATTGCATCCCTAAATAGGACAAGATCAACCTGAACGACACCAGGGGTGTTATTGTAGTCATCGAGAAACCCGGTCAAGCCCTTTCGTAGACGATCATTATCTTGTATATCTTCATAGATCATTTCTTTGTTCAGGGCATCCACAAATATGGGTGAACGTCGGGATGGACAGAGGTTGTGAAATGTTTGGTCAAAATATTGGGCAAGTTTCTCTTCCAGCAGCTCAATAAACTGAGTCACATCCTGGGTGTTTATGAGGCGGTCAGCAAATACACGGAAACACTCGTGGATCCACAACCGCAGCATGGCATTCCTCGTGTCGATGATTGCCTTATTTGCCCTAAGTAAGCCCTGATAAATCTGAAATTTTCAAAGAATTAAACATTGAGTTAAATACAACTTTCTGTAGAAGAACTGATGATGTACTCAAGTGACTCCAGGCAACCAAGACAAGCAAATGAAAATGCAGCAAACCTTTGAAATGTCACGGAGATTGAACAGATAGTGGATTCGAGTTGGTGTGGGCAGGAATTTGGCCACAATTGTGTGATAAAAGGTGATTGACGCTTCCGTTAACGGATCGCCTATTGTTTTGACCTCATCCTCAAAGTCCGATAGTTTCTGATTTAGCATGGTAGCAAAGATCTGTTTTAAATTGCCATCCTAAAATGCGGACCAACGATAGGCAATAATGATTACCTTAAGGGAATCATTACAATATATTAGTGGCAACGGCACCTACCGTCGGGAAAGTAACATTAATCCGGTTATACCGTGATTGTAAACGTCTTGAGATGGGCATGCGGCCACCTCCAGGTGGGCCCATGCTAGTAAGTAGGAACATATTCAGTACTCGCTTGGGCACCTGCTTAGAGCGGTCGTACCAAAACCCGTAGTCAATCCATTGGCGAATCAACTCTAGCGGTGGTTGAGATCCAAATTCGTCCTTCGCAGGCATGTTAAAATCATCCATGAATGTTACCATCTTGGTACCGCCAACTGGAACATACGTACCCTTGGTTCGTTTCTCTACGCGCGACTCAATTATGCCTTGTACATTGTTAGATGTAGTCTAGGGAGGCATTAGACAGTAATCCATTAATCGATTGGAAATAACAACCACAAAACTAAAATATAATTTTGTGTCAAAATTTACTCTACAGACTTACCTGTGCAGACATGTTGATGACGAGGTAAGACCACGACTCTTTTTTTAGACTAAAAAGAACGTTTTGTGCAATTGAAGTCTTTCCCGTTCCAACGGGCCCCGTAATGAGGACTGGAGAGAACGCTGAGATAAGTGTATTCACCAGGAAATTGTAACGTACAGTATCGACTGTCGGAACAAGGATTTTGTAAAAGGGTTGGCTGTGGTACAAAAAACAGCAATGATGAGTCGAATTACTCAATCAATTGTAACTCGACGGAAGGGGGCTTTTTCCCTTACTCAGGACCATACTTCCATCCGCCACGTAGCTGCTCCTCCCAGTGCACCCAACTGCGTGACTTGATGTCTACGGCAAATTCAAAGACGGAGTCCTTGTTGGGGAAGCTGCCGTCCAGTTCCCGAATAAAGGAATCGACTTTTTTACGCCCATCTTCATCAACCACACAACACACCGACCAGATCGTGCAAAATCGGAATACAATTTCAATTAGGCGCGTGAAGTTGTCCGGGTCTGACATGTCAAACTAAAATTAAGAAAGCAGAAATCATTCTTTGTTCAGCTTTATTTAAAAAAAATACTGATCATATTATAAAGATCTCTGGCTTGAGCATTTTTGAACCATTTGAGAGATTAGTGACGGATGAAAACCCACGCGACCTCTGGCCACCAGTTAATTCGATACAATCTGAATAACATTGCATTCGAAGTGCACCATGAAATCGGAGCGGAAAGAAGTATTGCCCGAACTCCTTCCGCAAACTAACGTTGAGTTTTGTGAGGATGGTCAAATTATGTCTAGCCTTACGAGTTCTCTCAAAGGCCACATTCAAGCCAACCTCACCGAAAAAAAATGTGCGTTAAGAGGCCCTTAATACCCCAGCTACCCAATGGAAAGCTCAGCATTAAACACTTTAATCGACAATAACACTAGTGTTAGCCGGACGTGAGAACTGTGGTTCCGGATATTGAGCCAGTTTCAGCGTTTCGTCAATCCAAGTACGTTTATAACTTGAAAGACGGAATATCTCAACTCGACTACACAAAATATAAAGTTACGGCACTAAGCTAGCGACATTTGTTGGCTTCTTCAACTCTGTAGCATTTTAATGGCAAATAAGTGCGGCTGTACCGCATCATCAACTAAATTATTAAATCAAATTTATCCGTGAATCCTGAGCTCTGGATCGTAGATAGTCAATGCGCTTACTATCGAGTGTGTGGTCATGACATGGAATCAGTTCACAAACGGTCGAGCATAGGTATAATCTCCAAAACACTAACATTTCAATGTACCGATTTTAGCATAAAGGAAGTATCAACCCGATAAAATCAGTCATATTCCAAATTGCATCAGCAAAAACTTTAAAACACAAATGACAGACCAGGTCATGTGTGGGAAAAACTTCAATTTAAGGTACTCATTTTTGGGTTAAATATTAAGGAAATAATGCCAAAAAAACAGAAGGACTTTTAAATTCAAATAAGTCCTAATTATACAATGGGCATGCCATCCCCTTCAGGTAGTATTAATTGGCCTGAGTCATGAGTAGGGAGGTGATACACATGCAGAGAGTGGGTTTGAACGAAATTTCTGCCAATTTAACCACCACGATCTCAAAAGAATCATTGTGTGGTAAAAGGCAACAATTACGGGACCTTCGTGTGCGGAGCAGGCTTTCACTTAGGAAAGAAACATCGGGACGGACCAAGATGACTAAACATTAACTTCTTCGACTGCTACGTCGGTGAATTGAACACACACGCCTTCTTGAGCACTGTGTGAATAGCAATCGCAGAAACATTAAGAATCAGTGTCAAAACTTTGCATTTGGGAGCGAAAACTTTCCTGAGTGAAATTTTTAAGAAAGAGGACTGTGACCATTTATATGCGTTCGATAAAATCTGACGGACAAATTCACTCTTAATGAAGTCACTGAGAAATCTGGCCTCGTAACAACCAGAAATTGTAGTTTTCTGAGTTGAAGACAATGCTGTATTGGTTCAGGTGTCCGGAACTACCTTGAATTTGATTAGAATGTGTCCAGCCTGTCGTGATGACACTGATGATGATGTTGCTCAGAGATGCTAGACAGAGAAAGGGCCTAGCTGTGCACCGTCCTATTCTTTTAGTCACTATTATTATTATATGCGTGGGATTAATTGTAGTAGCGACAAAAAAAATCACCTCCGAATCTTTAGTCAGAATGTGTCTGTAATCTTGCACGACTTGACAAAATAATTAGTTAAAATGCCTTCAGTGTCACATGAAATTTGACAATTTATTCAATGTTGAAGTAACTCTTGAATCTATGTTGGATATATATTCAGAGCCTATTTCGGAAATCAATATTTCTCCTGGGACTGCTTAGTTATGTGTTTCGTGTCGCTCCGGTTCAATTATGCGGACCTGGTAAATAGTGGTTTATAGTGAGTTATAAATGTGTAGGTACAAATAGTTTTAGAAATATAGGCAGGCAAGAGGATGAGGTTGGAGGTGGTAGTTTTATGATTAGCGATCAGGAGACGCTTTAGTGAGCAAATAAACCTACTGACTTGTTAATTAAATCGTGGCTTCAGATAAACACGTAAGATTACGTAACGAGAGAAACGTCAATATACTTTTAAGGGAAAACACGCTTACTGATAAAAAAAAGAAGGGAAATGAGCTAATATAACCGAAGCTAAGTCTGAAAGTTCGTAATTTAACAGCCCTAATACCAAGGTGATTGCCAAAATGAAGCATGGGATACTGTGTCACGGTTACCAATTGCTTATTAAACAAGAGTCAATGTGAATCAGGCACAAACTACTTTATAACCGGGCACCCAGAGGCGTGCACAACAGAAGTGGCACCAGATCCAAATGCCTGGTGGAAGTTTTCGGTGGATACCGTTGGTAGTTTAAAAGCAAAATTGGTCAATCCACAATCGCATCACTATGATTGCAGGAAAAGAAAATAAATGTTTCTTGACACACTAAAAATTCGATGGTATAATATCAACAAAATGAAAAAAAGAATGGCAGGCGTAATTAAATGGGCTTGCTTAATGTTAATGTGATTCCATACGAAGTTCAAACCAAAAGTGCCACAACACGAAGACGCAAGGCTCTCTCACATTACTGAGAAGACTTGCGGGATGTTTCGTTCCAATCTGCTACCAACCCATTACGCCTGGGCTCAACAGGAATATCTGAAGTGATAAACTGAGAAGCACTAATAGTGCAACCGATGACAGTAACAGCAATAGTTAAACCTGCCTCACTGCCGTCACCATAGATACCGTCAAATAGCCGACAAAGGCTAATGACAAGGTTGATTTCGCTCACAGCGAAGAGATTGTTGTGGATGGACATTATAAAAGAGATGATTTGGGACAGGTCCCTTTCAAAGAGGCTAAACAACGTGTCGGCCAATAGTTTGGGCTCCTTGGCAGCCAACCAAGACTTGACGTATGGCCACCACCCGAGGTCGTTAACGTCGTTATAAACCATTCCAGCACGTGAGACCGTGGCCGGTGAAGCGACTGCGAGGTCTTCAACTTCAAATAACAGGGAAACCTACAAGTAAACATCAACTTTTTAAAACGTACACGTGGAATGTAAACGCGTAAAAGAAAGTGTTTTCCAGCCATGACCTTCATTTTGTTAAACAGATTTTCCTTCACAACAGGAACATGACAATACGAGACATAAAAAATATGCCAAAAAGTGATAAATTTACGACGTGCATAAGCTTAGATGAATATGTGAGGGAAATACCCATCTCTTCCAAGCGAAGATAGGTTATGGAACAGAAATTAATTTACATTGGTAAACTTGATAAATTTCTATGAGAGTACTTTGAGGAAACTACGCCTTGTTCATGCGGATAGCACATGAAGAGGAGGGCCTTCTTTTCGCATTGTTGTTAAGCATGAACTGACACGAATTCGCCTTAAATATGCATCAGTTGTAATATTGCCAATGCCGGCAGTAGTAGCAGCTGATTTCACAGGATAATTTTTTTTGTGATAAACTGAATTGAGGAGAGATTCGCAGATCAAGAAGGAGGTTTTCGCAGTACCTACCTGGTCTGGCAGGGAGATTCTCTCACCATTGATGAGTGTCAGGATTTTATTATCGTCCATGACGGAGTTCATGCTCTCAATCCACAGGGCGTCAACGGGACCATCGAACAGAATCCACTTGTAGTCTGGCTTCTCATCTGCAATAATTACGTCAACTTAGCTTATGTCTAAGTGCCCAATGCCCTTATGCCAAATAGAAACCACCGATTTGTGTAATGTGAGTCTCCTTTAAGTAATCTTCAGCACTCTACATGGGATAATGACTCACCAGCACAAGCCTGACGCATTAAGCTCGATAGAATGCCGTCACTCCATTCGTTTGTGGCAATATTGAATTCGCCATACAGTTCTCCGAGAGAGACCGCTTTCGGATTCATGGGATACTCCCAGACTCGCTGGAATCCCTCATGACCGGCCTCCATCATTTTGCGGTGTGTCAACTGCAGAACCTTCCAGGTAGCCGATTTGCCCGACAGCGTCTTGCCGACAATCATCACTGAGTGGCGAGAACTTTGTGTCTCAAAGAGCTCAATCACTTTGGAAACCGAAAACTTCGTCGCCTGCAGACCCATCGCCTTGAAACTCTCATTGATTGTTTTTTTCATCTAAAGGGTAGGGAAGCAGGTCACCAGTGTTTGTTTAACACTGAGCTGCAACACCCATAGCTTTTGCAACGCTCTACGACACCTTGAATGAGTTGAGCTTTGTACAAAACCCCATTGCTCCTCGATACCTGATTTAATTTACTCAACACAAACGGCCTAGTTCATTGGCATTCGAAAAGTTATGCACGGGATACAATTTGTAGAAATTAAGGAGCTGATAACATTATTTTACTTCAGTGTGAAATGCTTGTGTGTGGTTTGAGAACCTTGAGGAAACTGTAAGAAAGGTGTTGAAGTACCACAGGGGTCGTCACGGTAACCCCATTTCGGCAATTCTATGCAAACGTCGTTTTCCAGAGAGGGCGTGCTTCATCGGGTTGTTCGCCAAACATTTACGCTGTCCCGTTCCAAAAGTGGTTTTGTGCTGCGAGCCGACGTCTCGAAGGAACCTCACGAGTTCACTAATCGCCCACTCAATTCACTGTATTCCACTGACCACTGAGGACAGATAGCTGGATGGGGTTTAAATTGCGACCACAAGTAGGGGCAGAAAATTACCTCACTCATTTCATTAATCGTGCACACCATGACCAAACTACGGATCAAATAGCACACTGCGTCCACCGCGTCCTGGCCAGAGTCACGGACTCTGCGCCTTTATTCCAGGTGACGGCTTCACTACGATTGACCGATTTTACACCCCGCAACTTTGTCCAATTAATTTATCACGGTTCCCACAACCCCCAAACCCCAATCGGTGTTGCCGGAACACATTTATAACAAAGAATTTGTTAGGCCAATCTCCACCATTAACCCC